GGCTGAGGGTGTGGTTTTCACTGTTATTCTTAATTTTTTTATTCTTTTTTTTTGTAATGAAGTTTTTTTTTGGCGCACACCCCCTTTAATGCGTTTGGGTCACCTCAGGTATAAACTTTAATCCAGGGTATGCAATTATGAACACATTCCAGCAGCTAAAATGGCGGTTTTTTTTGAACCTTCGCAATCTTATTTTTAATGATTTTAATGCAACTGTTCATTGATGGCGCCTCCATGAGGAAGTTGCCTGGGTTGGTAATCAGATGAGATTTGTCATGATGCCACCAGTTGTACTAATCCAATAAATACTATAGGTCAAAAAAGCGAATTCCTAAATCTTAAAATCACCTTTTCTACATTCAAAATCGACGAACAAATTAACTCACAAGCACAGCCTGAATCGCAAACAATCCATCGAGGTCTGCGGGTGATGACACCATTATCAGCTGCTGACAATTGTGACGTCACTCGCAGACCAGCTGCCGAGAATTGGCGAACGTACGCCTTATTAGGATGAGCAATCCTGTAAGTTTACGATTCTTGGTGAATAACCATTCTTCTTGTTCCTTATTACAGATTAATGCGAATTCATTATTTAGGAACCATAATGAAGTCACTTATTTAGGAACCAGAACCAGGTAGGAACTTGGGATGTCGCACCCAAATAGAGCATCCATTGAAGAAAAAGACGTTGTTATATGGAACCTCTCGAAGCCAGCAACAGGGGTGCCTAAATTCTACCAATGCTCAAAAGCTGATGGGGGTGATTGGGAATATGCAATAATTATAAATCAACCATATATCCCCGCCAAAAAATTTAAGATATACCCCCCTGCAAACACAGCTACATAAATTGAAGTAGAAATTCACATAACTACTTTAACTAATTGTATAATTTCTACTGCTCAAGTAGATGTTAAATTTAAATAGCACACTGATATAAAGCATATTATGTAACAAAATTTTACAATTTAGGACAATAAAGCTTTGTAAAAGTAAAGTAATAATTATTCATGTTTCACAAAGGAAGGAACCGCGGAATCAACACAAACACATAAGTAGGTGCCTATACAGGGTCCCAACTATTTCATAGAGACAGTATTGCTATCTCGGGAACGGTTAAAGTTACGAGAGCGTTTAAATTAGAAAAAAGTTTCAATTTTTGAAGAATATTGAAAATATATTTTCGTTGGCTGTGCCTATGAAATAGTTGGAACCCTGTATAAGATTGTCCAATACTTTAGATGCTTTGTTTTGAAATCGTACACATGCTTTTGCATTCCTAATTGAATAAAATAAGTTTTTTGTGCACGATCTAGAAGCAATCTTAGCTTTTCATACAGCAATTTTCAAGTTTAATGCATATTTTGATTGTGGACGGAATGTCAAATCCGGCGTCGGAGTCATCTGGGTTGTTCTAAGGAAGAGGTTGAATACCAAATTGTTTTTGATCCATATTCTCTTATTAGATATTCTACAGGATTCAAATTTTTTATTCCATGTCATGGGGACGCACTTTCATTAAGCGAATAAAAACTTTAGTAAATATATTGACAATGACAATGCGTTATTACAAATTATTATTCCCCAATTTCTGTTATCATGGACTAATTGTATTTATATAGGTAACTAAATGCGTCTTGGAAATAAAATGGTTTCTAGGAATAAAAGAAATTGACCGAAATCCAGCTATTGTAATACGAACCCTCTAATAATTCATTAAACAATTACTGGGGTCAGACTGATAGCTTATTGAAATGGGCAAGTGGGACGACGTTAAATGTTGAATAAATAAAGAAATAATGTAGGTACGACGTTTACTTTGGGGATGTTCCATGAATTTTCTTTTTAGGCCAACTTTGAGTTAATTAGGAGAGCGTTTTTGTTTTATTCTCTACACTTACAAACAGGCATTTAATTTTGTATAATGTAATATGTTAAGCTTTTGTAATAATAATCATATTTCATTTTTTCTATAGAGGACTTATATATTTCACTCATTGCACTGTGTCAACTATAGACAGTTTTACGAAATAATAAATACTCATAAACTAAACTCCCTCCGTAATCGCAATAAAAGTACAAATCATCGATGGTCACGAAACGCAATCCAAACACCTTTTTGTTGTTTTGCCCAGACAATAAAATAATTATTGTGAAAAGATATAAATCACTTCTCCCACGCGCTAATGACTCTTCTATAGCCTGAAATGTATTGTGTTTTATAATAATCAATATGGAATATGGGCATTCGCATTTTTAGGACATTAATTGCGTTGTAGTTCAGTTACTCGACTAATGACGCAAATATCGATATGATTACACAAAAACATTGGTGCGGAAAGTCATTGTTCATGACCGGTGCGGAAATATTCAGGAGTTTCCATTGACATATTGAATAAGCAAAAATGTATGAGAATGCTCATGGTTTCGTAATTTCGTATATAAAGCGCGTAGTTTAGTCTGTCAATTTAATAGGAGAATAATTGATGTAGATGTAAAGTTAGGTAAAAGCGATAAGTCATTAGTAAATTTTGTAAAGTCAATTATCTTAAATAAGAGTTGTTAAGTTTTTCCAAAAAGACGTTTGAGTGCTGACGTTCTCATAATTGAAATAACAATCGAACAGTCTGGTAGAGAACCAAGGCAATAATTTTTTTTCAAACTCAAACTCAAAATTAATATTTAGGAAAGGAATGCCTTCTTTCCTGGCCATACATAAGGCTATAGGTAAAACCGTATCAAATTGTGAAACATCTTTGCAGCTCCATAAGAAAACGGTTCAGTAGTTATTGTCCGTCGATTTTAATCTGACACTTTCTGTAAGAGGAGCGAGGGGGTGAAGTATATGGCAAAACAGGTGTGACGTCAGGTGACCATTGGCGTTCTAACGTAAAGAACCACCAGCTGACATTTTTTTGGAGCATCAGATTAAAATCGACAGACTTTATGCTTATCTTCTATGTATTGAATATTTGGAATTAAAACTAGCTCTAGCCGGCTCTGCTCAAAGTGCTCTACTTAGTTTCGCCACTGATATATTCTATGAAAAGGTATTAGCGCCTGAGCTCTCCATTGTTAGGATATTCGTTCTGCTTATGTACAGAACTTTTTGATATTAATAATCAATATAATTAGATTAGACAGTTTGACCTAATAATCGAAAACTATAATTCTAAGGAAATATTATCAATAGAATGAAAACTCTAGACCCTATGAAATTGTTCAAAATTTCTAAAAATTCCATTCACAATTTTTAAAAGTTTCTCTCACTGAATTAGGTATCTCATGCACACTAATTTATCATTAAACATCATAGTGTGGCTTTTGCTAATTCGAAAAATGTCTAATTATTTGCAAAATGTGTTTTCAATTACGAAGACAACCCATCGTTTATCCCTCAGCAGTGTCTGGAAGTGGAGAGAACAAATTTAGTATTAGTGCTTGTATTCAAACTGCAGGTTTATACTTTGCATATTTGACATTTTAGTAATTTTTGATGTATCTTTGAATAACGTCACTACAAACAACGTATATCAGTAGACCAATCAATGGAATTGGAATGTTCATGCTCACAAGACAAATATCAGGACATTGACGGGTGAACAGAAAGACAAACACGATAACTTTTATTTTTATTCTCCAGGTAGCATTATCAGACAAACTTTCTATGGCCAGGAGTATTTGCATCATTGTTCTTTTCAAAGAAGAGTTGTTGCTTATCCTAAGATGATCAGCGAAATCCAGAATTGTTTGTTGACGTCCAATGGAACTATGGCAGCAAGAATAAAATCTACACCAAGTCAAATATTTCCAGCATTGAATAATACTAGATAGAAGAAGGGGATGTGGCAATCCTTGAACATGACATTTACTCTGGTTACTTTTCCAGAAAGTTTCTTTTAAGGAAATCTCAGTGATAATACCAGATTCGCCAGAGATAGTAAGCATAGGGCCTTGAACCTTAACTCAAACCCGTGGTAAAGTTTCAATAGAAATAGTTGGTCGACAAGTGTGTGGATCAATAAAAAGTGCATGAAGAAGAAGTTTGCAGCTCACTGGAAGAAGGCACGACAGAATAATGAGAAGTAAATTACATCAGGTACATCAAATATCAAATGAACGAATTTTAAAAGCAGAGAAGAAAATAGCAAAGAGGAAAATCAGAAAGGAGGATAGGATAAGCATAGAAGAAGATTCTCAGATTCCTTTGAAAAAAAAAAGAAGCAGTGTATATGAAAATATAAAAATAGGAACAGAAAAAATAAGAAAAACCAAATAGTTTCATCTCTTTTGGCTGTACGGAATCATATTTCAGCATTTATTTTCCATAGCTCTTTATGTTGTAACTGTTTTCTCGATATTTTCTTTTGTAAAGGTCCCTGCTTGATAGCCGTATGTGAAGACAAGGAGTATTATCTTAATGAAAGACTGTTGTTATATCGGGGATATTTTTTATTCTTTAGGACATTTGGAGAGTTTGCCGAATCATATTCAAGCCTTCTCTTTCTCTTTAATTCTCCTGCCTGATTTGAAATTATCTGGAAATTAAGGAACTTGCTCAGTTTCAATAAGAATTTGAAATTTGGGACCCTCTTTTATTAAAAAAAACAAGGTGAGATTCTCGTTTTATCCAGATAGGTACTATCCTATTTCATTTGGCAAAAGTTGAAAACACCCCATGTATACAAAGCCCGATATATTCGTGTTCTAAAATCGAATTGTAAATCTTATTAATAAATTAGCATTCGGCAGGAGTTGGCAGGCAATCGAACACTTTACCTAGTGTGTACTGTATATACGAGTGGGCATGTGTTTTTGTCCTGTCCTGCCGCTGACGGACATCCAAATGGTTATCGGCGCACCTGCCTTCGCCCTTTTCTGGACGAAAAACCCCCAGACTGGACTTGTTTGCCTCGTTTCAATTCAAATACTTAGCCGGTAAAGTTTATTCTTGTTTTCCGATGGTTCGGCCCAGGGCAATAAGGATAGTTTTCTGACTTATTGTTGTTTTTGTTCGGTCTGGAAAAGGGAAATCATTCCCGAAATAATTATTCGGTTTGTTGGTATCGGATAGGGTAAGTTCAATTGTCTGTTTTTTTTTCTAGAATTAGAGAATCAATTATTATAACTGACTAGTCTACTTGTAATTGAAAATAAAATTAATTAGGATGTAAAAAAGCATGGCATGTCAACTTTGAGATACTCCAAAAAAAAGAAGTTTTAAATGTTGAACTTGTGTGGTGTCAATTTAGAATTGAAGAAATTTCTGTTCAAAATAAGACGCGTATTCAGTTTTAGCACAAATGCAACAATTTGAGAAACCTTTTACCTAGTTACCAAAATTTACAAAATTACGTTAGGGAACTTATCATTGCTCTTCAAACAGGTATAATTTTGGTTTTAATTTGATTTTGTTTTTATTTTTATTAATATTTGGTTGTCCTCATCGACGTATAAATTATTAATTTAATTCAATTAAATAGAATTATTTGCACAAGCTCCCGATACTTTCTCTAAATATGAATAAAAGTTTCGGTATTTATTGTTACCTATTTAGTTTTGGAGTTTTTTTCTACAGTATTGCTTGGCATTAATTTTTAAAGTGAATTTGCTCGGGGTTTTGAATAAACTTTATATTTTGTCACCATGAGCAAACAAGAATGTCTGCGCTATTGCCAAGAAAACACTACAAACAAACACTCAAATATGGGTACTTTGATGGAATAGGGTATAGGTTCTATAAGATGGCCACCTTATTCTCCAGATTTGACTGCCCCTGATTTTCTTCAGAGGGTATATAGGTTTCTGGAATTTTGTCGTCATGAATATATAATTTGATTAAGTAGTAGACATCTCCTGATAATTTCAAGTGTATCCATTTAATGTTCTCATATTGTCGATTGGTATAAATTTTTACTGTACTGGAGATAATTTGTTTATGTCATAATTCCTTTACAATAACCTATCTACTTTTAGTCCGATACTTCAATTTAAAATTCCATATTAAAATTCATGTTTCAGTTAATTAAAACTCCGAAATAAATTTACCATTGCCATACTTTTGGCTTTTCGATAATTAACTAGGTATAATACACGCCATCAGGAGGTAAAGACCTTTAGTCTTTACACTCGCAAAAAAAAAAACGATTACAACGTTGATCTCTTGCGAACAATTTCAAAGGGTCAATTGTGCTAGACTTTAGCTTCATTTAGTCCAGAATTATCATTATTTTGAAGACCAATTATGATTCTTATCTCGTAATAATTATTGTTGTAGCCTAAGCTGCTAATTTGGGAAATGATTTATGGACTTGGAAGGCTTCGCCCCATCGTGTTTCAGTAAGTTGTATGCTCATTGAATTTTTTTGACTGTAACATGTACACTTCACATCAGTTTCACAACAATTTCTCAATTATTATTTTTCTAACTAGACTTCACTGTCCATACACAACTGTACCTCTATGAATACGTCGTTGACTATCTATCCAATAATTTCATTAATTTGCTTTTTTTTTGTACACAGTGTATAATTAATCTGTGATATTGAAACTAGGGATGCACCTAAACGCTGCCAATATCCAATATCAATTGCGTATTCCTGATAAATTATGTATCATCTGCATAGTAAAATCAATTTCCAGTCATGCCTCTGTGCCTTTACATACAATCGATTCTCCATAAAAGTAAATATGGAAAAAATGATAATTATTTCCATTAATAATTACCGACAATAAAAAGTTCATAGACACAGGGATCGATAAGCTATAATTTATTTATTGACCCACTTTTAGGCTCTATAATGCGTGAAATGTATTGCTATGGAAAATTCAATTCGTTCTCCATTAATAGACGTTTGGGCCAAAAATGATGGCCACATTTTTTTTTTGAATAGCTTTATTGTTTAGAATCATTCTAAAAATAAATTTGCGAGGAAGAAACACAAACGTTTAGGGTTTTTTAAAAATCAATTCAAATATTGGTGTTTTAACATTAAAAAGTACAGTTTCTGGATATTATACGTGTTTTTTGGAAATTTGAAACTTTTCATTATCAAAACTTAATTTTCGTTTGAATTTCTATCATTGGTTTTTCGAACTAACTCATCACAGTTACATATTTTCAATTTCTCGCTTAGAACAGTAATCAATTAAGTTATCATAATGTATACCTAGATGTTGACCATCTGTATGTAGATAAAGTTAAATTAGAGTTGAATTAAACAAATTAAAATGCAATGAAAAATTATTAAACACATATACAGGGTATATCAGGTATGAGTACAAATATTTTACCATGAGATAATATGGCCCATTTCAAGCTAAAACTGTCCTATTAACCATGCGTCAATTGTTAGTATTTTTATAGTTATCGCAGAATTAAAATTTAGAAAAATGTTACCAATGTGACAACATTGTACAGATATTTATCTTCAGATAGAGGAAATAAATGTAAATAAACTGGTAAATTCAAAATAATAAGGTTTTTGTTTGCAATGAGTTTATTTTAACCTGTTGTCGTTTTGGTTAATAATGTAAATACTAATTTGCATTTTCCAATTTCAAGTTGTGAATTGCACCAAACATTCAAGAGGAAAATTAAATAATACTTACTCAGCTACTTGTCAAATCCTGATAATGGAAATACTTATTTTTGTTACAAGGTCCTCAAAACACTAAAATCGTCATAATTGAAGACAGACTACCTACACTGCGCAGAAAGTTCCCAATAAAAAACTAGAGTATTAATACATGATACAAATTTCGTCGGAAGTCCGATGAACTGTTGAGTGGGAATATCTAACTTGTCGGGCAATGGATCGAGTGCTTATTCCAGGGCTCTCTTCCACTATCGCTAAAATCTGTTCTTCTTCGGCAGTTGCCATTTGGTTTGCAGTTTGCAGGTCCCCGATTAAGATTTTGCCACTTACACATCCCGTATCACGCAATCTTTGGAAAACCGGCACAATGTTCTTTCATTCGGTGCCGTCCTATTAGGAAATCTTTTCCTGTAAATTCTGGCGGCTAAATGATTTTGTAACGATTCTACGTAAACAATAGTAACTTATCTGTATATTCAACGTTTGTAAATATTTTGATTTCAAAAAATATTGAATTAAATACCGAACTATTCTTTCTTGTGCTATGTTGCCAGATGTTCAAAAACCGAATTACAAATAACATATTGTCATATAGGCCAAGCAATGAAGGAAGTTTACCTCAACATAATTAGAAGTTAAAATTTTTTTGAGGGGATCGGTCCATTTTAATATGCTTAATAACATATTAAGTTTGCGACCTTGTACTTCCCTAGGGTTTTTAGTTAGGGGTGGTTTTTAGGGGTAATTTGCGGTTTATTGAGAACGCTGCTTTAAAGGATGGTCCAATAACAAAAAGTTTCAAATGATTGTTGTAGCTGAAGTTTTTTGCTATATAAAACTTCGCGACAGCACCCCTTTATCTTCTATAGATTTTTTTCTGCAGCGTCTTGAATAGTAGCATGTTTTTGTTCAAGGTCAGTGAATCAACGTTTGGCCTGTTTACGCGCATTTCATGCATGACGTGTTCAGGCCAATAAGTCATTGAGTAATCAACGAAAAAAAAAATCCGCTGGGGCATTATGAGAGGAATAAATGGGCTGCCGATTGTCGAAAACTGTCACCAAATATTTGGCCCCGTTTAGAAATTACAGTGCATTCACTGTACTGAAAGGGGTAGTTTTCGATGCAATTTACAACTTCCTCGCACATTAGACAAGTCCGTGCTCGCTTAATTTTCGAGCAAAAAATTCGAACAAAAAAGCAATGGAGAGTGCATTTCATTAGCAATAATGCGGTGTTTGAAAAATTGAAATCCGATTATGCATTTGGCCGCTACTGCATGAAATGCGCATAAACAGGCCAAACGTTGATTCACTGACCTTGAACAAAAACATGCTACTATTCAAGACGCTGCAGAAAAAAAACTATAGAAGATAAAGGGGTGCTGTCGCGGAGTTTTATGTAGCAAAAAACTTCAGCTACAACAATCATTTGAAACTTTTTGTTATTGGACCATCCCTTTAAGCAGCGTTCTCAATAAACCGCAAATTACCCCTAAAAACCACCCCTAACTAAAAACCCTATGGAAGTACAAGGTCCCAAACCTAATATGTTATTTAGCATATTAAAATGGACCGATCCCCCCGAAAAAAATTCAACTTCTAATTATGTTGAGGTAAACCCTCTTTTCAGATCCCCGTTTCTTGGACTAATACTATTTTTTTAATTTTTAATAATTGTGTTTGACTAAATATTCATAATTATTTACTATGTAATTAAATGTGATTAACTTTCTTGGATCTCATAATGATTACAATTTTCATTATCTTTCAATTCGTCAAAAAATTTCAAAACTTGAAAGGCATTTTTCTTGAAAATGGTTGAGTTTGGACCCCATGCTGCATAAACTTTTTTTGTTCAAAATGGGCCATATTTTCACGTATTAAAATCTTTGTATTTAAACCTGTAGGTATATAGGTTAGGTACTTTAAAAACAATTTTATTGTATTTAATCTTAAAGTTAATTTTTCTTTTACATCTTCCCATGTTTTGGCAATAAGGATTACAATTATTGTATCATTAGGTCTCTGTTTTTTTTTTGCCATTATTTAAAGGGCCTGTCTATTAAGCTACTTCAATCTTATCGATACTTTTGTGAATATTTTCTAATAAGCAAGAAAAATATGCTTTTCTTTTTGGCCGATAAGTGATGTTTAATATTATAAGTATCAGCGTCATCAAATTGTCTTTCAATAAATAGGCCAGACTATAAAAAAATGTGGCATCCGTTATATTATTTATCTATACTGAGGTAAATTCATACATTTAGTTTTTAAGACCAAAAAAAGTTCAATGCGGGGAGTAGATAATAATTATTACAGGTTTTGCCTACTTGACACATTTTACTTTACAGACAAGAATATTTTGATAGAAAATAAGGTATAGGTACGCCAAGGTATAATAATTTCCAAAAAAATCATTCGGGTTTTTTTGTATTTTTGTAATTCAAATGTGCATTCAATAATATGTAAAATTCGGGTTAGTAGGACACATGGCGAAAAAAAAATATGCGTCAACAAACTTTTATTATGATGCTTAACACTTTTGTAAATACACGAATTCGTGTGTTATAGCGTTTTTGATGAAGATAACTAAATTAAGGATTAGGGTTCGTGTCGAAGGGCCATAAATCGGTTATGAAAAAATTGAAATAATTATTATAATCGTATTTCCGAATGTGTTATTTAATTAAATAGAAATCTCGTTTAATTTATTTAATGATAGCTGAGCGCGGTTCGTTCATCGTTCATGCAAAATGAAATATTTTCGTCCTTAGGGATTGGAGAAGTTTTAATGAAATCAACCAACATACTTCAGCATTCATTTCAAGGGCTGCCAAGTGAATGCCCTTCTCAATATATAATTTGTTTTAAACATTCAATTGAATTTTGCCTACTTTTATGAGACTATAGAGATAATATAGGTATCCCTTTCTTAAATTTACTTTATAGGAAAAAAAAAAAAAAAAATCCTATAACCTCAAACATTTTGTTACGAAATTGCATCGACAACCTGCCAGGTTTCTAGAAACCCAGTTGTTTGCGTCTAGAGCGCGTCTACTTTGGGAATTTTATATGTATAAAAACAAGACTTCTAGATTAATTCCGAGTAGGTACCATGTCGGCTCTAAATAGCATGCGGTTACTCAGTTGAAGTAAGTTTAAATTAGAGAGTTGTTATAGTCAGTTTTCAAGAAATGTGCTTGAAGTTGAAACTAAGTATGTATATGATTTTGAAAGCTCTCGTTAAAAATTGTTGATGAGATCCCTCTGGTTGTCCTCCTCGCTATAAATTCGTTGGATTTTCATAATGTATAGGTGAAAAACTTTCAAATTCACTCACTGTATTGCATAAATAACCATAAGCAAAGAATCCATAAGGGTACTTATTTAAAATTATCTTAAAGCTATTGCGTGCTACAGTCACATGTCAATACATAGGTAACTTTTTATTTTGAGCTCCCCCTCATTATCATTGCCTTTACCATGTCAATGTTAAGGTATTTAAGTCGATTTAAAATTTAAATAGTGAAACTCAACGGGACTTAATGATTCTTCAACCATTAATTATTTCCAAGAATCAGTAGGAAAATATAGGATTGTTAGTATACTTGTTTATTTTTTTAATATTTCTATTCTAGAATAATGCTAGTTTTTTAATTAGGGACTCTAGTTCACTTACGGTAGCTGAGAATTATTGGTTTTATTTAGGTCAAGAAAAATAACGCTGAAAATCGAATTATTATTTTAACTTAGTTAAATCCAGAATAATTTCATTATCAAAAATATTTATAGGAGTGAAAGGTTTTATTTCTATAGCGATGTACTGAAATATTGATAGGAATTTGAATATAATCACGACAGTAGATAGATAGGTGATAGGTATGTACCTCAGTAGCATTTCTCGTAGGAAGTTATTTCGCCCAATCATGCCCAATCTGATTATAGAAATAGGGTGGTTGAATTATCTCCTATAAATTAGTTATAAATATGTATATTGAATATTTTGAGAAGCTTCAAAAAATATTATTTGCCTATTTGGGAGGAAAACAAGGACGCAGGCGTGAGGGTAGAACTGGATGGGCAGTAAGTCATCCTAGAGCCTTTAATGAGACCTGCCCACTTATAACAAGGAAATCCACTAGGAACGTGCTCTGGTGGAACCAGAATCTTGCAAATCTAAAGGGAAAAGCTAGAATAGAATTTAACAAAACCAGAAGAATTGGCCAGGATATATAGTTCAAGAAAGAGCTGAAAGGATCTAAGAGAAGGTCTTGGAGGAAGTACTGTGTGGATATAGAAAGTACTCAGAACTTTCTCAAGGGGTCTGCAGACAATAATCAGTTTACTCATGAACGGCCTTGGTGGATACACCAGTACCGGGGAAGAGACGGCTAGGGAACTCCTAAGAACCCATTTTCTAGGCACAAAGATAGTTAATCAGATTCAGTGGACAAGAAATGATCCTAGGTCTCGAGAACCGTCTAGGAACGACTGGCTGATTTATAAGAAAGTAGTCAACCATGAGAAATTCAAATGGGCTATGAACACTTTAGACCTGTACAAGTCAACAGGGACCGATGCAGGGCCGTAGCCAGGGGGGGGGGTATTGGGGGGCAATGCCCTATCTTTCAAATGATCATACACTACCTTTTAAAACACAACAAGCATTGAGGTTTCTCTGGGATATTCAGGAGTAGATAATGAATACGCCTGAAATCGAGTAGGTACGAGGATTAGTTTCCGAAAACTTCTAAATGTATGCAACAATGTTTGATGTGAAGCTTTTCATTTCGAAAGAGTGCGAATGCAAGGATAATATACACACTACTACACAGGATTGCTTATCGGCCTCGTTTGTGAAAATCGCGGCCATACGGTGTGGCAACATTGACGACATCAGCTTTGTTCCAATACGTCCAAAAGCCGTACAATGTACCGTCACGATTCTGCGCAAAGACAAAAATTTGTGCGTAGAACCCAAAATTCGTATACGGAGTGGTTTCGAAACCGTTCATGGGACGTCGTCAGTTGTTTGCGCCAGTGGTCCTAATTTAGAAAGAAAGAAAACTATGAATAACATGAATGATGGTAGAAATGGTCCAGGAGATTATTATGGATTATTTTTGTTCCACATACTTTTGGTACGATGGTACATTTATGATGAAAAATATTATTTAATTTCGATTAATATAATAGAGAACAAGAACTGTATAAAAGAAATAATAGACAAAGAGGAAGATGCAAACGAGATCTAGCGTTGTTTCAGAATGTTAATTAATGTACTAACACCAAGTACGTAAAGGCAAGACACGACACGCTGCCTACGTCATCACTGGTTCTTTAACGTGGTGGGGGGCTTGAGATTTGATCTAATAGGCCTTATGAGGATAAGCTATCCTGTAGTAGTACTTAGTGTGTATTCTCCTTGGTACGAATAGTTCAAGGCGACACGCCATTTCGTTTACTTGCTAGAGATGCTATTTATTAAAAAATTTGCTTTCGGCGGCATTAACCCCATTTTGTTTACCTATAAAAAATTTAAGGGGGGGAGGAGGGCAAGTAGTGTATGCCCTATGTCAAATTTATCATGCCCTATCACGAATTTGACTCTAGCTACGGCCCTGGACCGATGGGATTTATCCCATAATGTTACAGAACCGAACTGAACTAGCACACAGGATACTCTGTGACATTCTAAGAAGTAGCTTAGCCCTTGGCTATATACCAAAGACTTGGAGACACATTAGGGTGACGTTCATACCAAAGCGTGAAAAAATAGGAAAGGATACGGAAAAGTCCCTAAGACCCATTAGTTTTACGTTATTTGAGCTTGAGACACTGGAAAAACTTGTGGATATGAACATTGGGGCGGTGTATTGGCAAGCCGTCCATTACACTCAGACCAGTATGAATATCGCACAGGGATATAGATAACAGAAATAGCGGTTCACCAGCTGGTCAGCATAGTGGCGACCACATTGGAAAACCGGCATGTAATGCTGGGCTCTGTTTTGGAAATAGATAGAGCTTTAGACGACACTTCCTCTTCAGCTCAATAACCAGATCTCTCAAGCATATGAGTGTGACGAAGAGCATATAGATTTAGAAAACATGTAAAAATGATTGCGGGAAGCAGATGGTACATCGAGTTAAATGAAGGAGCTCTTTGTTTAGGAGTCGAAAGGAGTTTGCTGACAAAGAAGAGAGGGAAGTTTATTTCAAAATTTCCAAAAAACTTTTCATTGTCAGGAACTATTATTTTTCAACAGCCTAATCAAGTACCTACTTAAAGGTTTCACACGTTCCTACCTCATGTTCCATCAGTTTGCAAGAGCTAGGTATCACCTGTCATGCGTTGTCGATCGTATATCCGAACACCCTGGGCATATTAACATTATTAACTATGCAATTAAATTCAAATCATTTCTAAAAAATGCGAAATGTTTCTGCTATCACCCCATAATTTACTTTTTAAAAAGCTTTTAACTTTCAGCAACCCTTCGAAATACAAGATATGGTTTCTAAATTATATACATATACAGGTAGATTAACTGAAACAATGTGCGGAACTAAATATTGCTTTTAATGGTTTTGTCTATTATCTACTCCTAGATTAGAATCCAATAAGTGTAGAAACAATATATTTATGAATTATACAAACAACCCCACACTAATTTTTGAATATATCCACTATGAGTATGGGGTTAAATCTTTAATGATTTATTTCCTTTCTAGACAATTGCCAATTACCCAACCCATTTTCTGAATATAACGCCAACGAAACAAGTTAATCCAGGCCTCACATATCGGATATTAGGGCAAATTGAGCAGTCCTTATCAACCCAGGTTGACTAATGGTAACCTAATGTGAACGTTTCCCGAGGGAGTGGAAATATTATGACTCTTACAAGAAAAAGAGCCCCTGTGGATAACAAAGGCGCTAATGGCCTTTATGTACATAGTAACCCGCCTAGAAGTAAGTATTTTGTCTAGTTTGAGGGAGTGCCCTAGCCCTGGGCCGCACCTCACCCGAATTTACTTATAGAAATATGATAATAAAACAACAATAATTTAAATGCAAGCGTGACTCGGGAGTCCTTTCAATTCAAAAATATTTATTTATGTTTAGGCCTGGATTTTGGCTCACTCAATCTAACAAAAAATTTTGCTAAAAATAGTCGTATACCCCTGTTTTTCTTTTTAATTCATATTCCTTTGTTTCAATGCGCTTCATTTTAACGGAAAGACCTTGCGTGTGAATATTTGTATCGACCTTTTTTAAAAAAAGATGTACAACAGATAAACTATATGCTCTTTTAATCATAAATTGTGTTTTGGACGTTCCCTCATAATTAATTACATTCCCAGGTTGTTCTTTGCTTCTTTTTTCTTTGAATTAATTATTTTTTCAATGTAAGTCGCAGCCGTGCCTACACCAGAACAAGAAGAGTAGATGAATAGGTAGTAGGTCGCCAGCGATCGGAATTAAGTCTACAATCGACACTAGAGTTACATTAATTTACAATATTCCAAAACATTGAGAGGCAGTCATTGGTTGATAGTTCGATTGTGCCTCTCGGCTCGGCTATTCTGTCCGACTGTAGATGAATTGAAGACGATCTCGTTTTCCTTATTCTCGACTTTGATAAATTTTTGATTTTCTTTTCTTTATTTGCTTTTAGTTTTGTCTATAAGTGCCGCTCACATAAAGCAACTAATAAGAAATGGGGATATCGAGAAATTGGAACAGGTGGTGCTGGAAGGACAAGGGAAAAAATTAGTTGGAGAATATTCGGCTGACTACAAAACGCGAATGTTCTTGAAGTCTGTGCCAGCATTAATGGTAAGTTTTATTTGTCAATAATTGACAAAATCTTTTATTCTTACTTACTCTTTCAGTCTAAAATCTCTTTACTTCACGATTCACTAAACAGCGATAGATTATCGGAACTTCAATCGATTCTGGACGAAGAACCAGAGCGCAAGAAAAAGCTGGCAATGGCCAAAGATGAAAGCGGAGTTGGTCTTTTACATAAGGCTGTTTATTACGACCTTAAATCAATTTATCGCTGGCTGATTGATAAATTCCCTCATACTGTAAATTTAAGAGATTCGGTAAAAATAAAAAATTATTGAATTAAATACCTATTTAATTGTCTATTTTCAATTTTATTTTAGGAAGGCAGGACGGCCTACTTCTACAGTCTGATGTGCAAAGAGCCAGGGGCAGTTCAAAAACTACTTACGGTTGCTGGAGCAGATCCTTATGTCCAAGATTATCGTCAACATTCTACCAAATACTATCAAAGTCATATGGCAGAATTGGAATTGCCTAGTGGACCAAAATCCATAGCTAGTACTAGAAAAAATACTGCTTGTAAAGAAAGTAAGTGTTTTTTATGTGTAGAGTACTTATTTACGTGTAACTTTAGAAACACTTTACCAATCGAAATTAAGTATTCCATAATTTTTTATGTTGATTTTGTCACAAGAGAGGCTGAATATAAGTCTCTCCGGAGATTCAACAAATTCATGTATTAATCCAGAAAGGAGGATACGATAAGCACTGAAATAAGGAAATTGATGAGGCACAGAAGAATCGAAGACTTCTTCTGTGCCTCATCAATTTCCAATCATGGCTACCGAACTACAGCGGACTGAAGAAAACTCAATAAAGTGATACAAACCACTGTCAAAAAAGACATAAACAACGAAGAAACTATAGAAAAAGCTAGACATTGAAATAAATTACTAATTAAAAATGGTAGGTACTATTTATTGAATGATATACCCCACTCAAGTGGTAAGGGCTTTAAGTCCAGATTTCAACACTGACCTGCTTGTAGAATTCTGACGAAACACCACCGTATACCCACCTCGATCAAGCTACAAATTTGTAGATTCAATATAATATCCAAATCTTTATGAATTGAAGGAAGACCTCACAAAAAAAATTGAATTTGATATAGGTTAATTGGAAATAAAGAGGAAAAGGTGACCATCTATGAACCTTGATATATGGAAATAAAGGACGTCTCAACAAGAACTTGAATTTTAAATCGCGGGCCATTTCTGTCTGTCAAGTGTCAACTCGGCCATGTGAGGCATGTGTTCGGTGAAAATATTGACATTTATTGAAATGCCGCGATACACTCTTTGAGGAACGTTTATTGATTGCAAAAACTCATTACAGGAATGGAGAAAACTTTACCATACTTACAAAATACATTTGACATGAGAGAAAAGATTTCTGTAAATACTATTTAATAAATGGCTACAAAGTAGGGATTAAGTACCAAAGAAGTTAGCACAGATGATTCTGAATCTTAAGATATCCTCTGCCTATCCCATCGAAGGTGGTATAAGTTCTATGTGAAAATATTCTCTCAAACTGATGAAAGAAGTACGGGTTGTTCTGTCTCCTTTGGATTTCGAGCGATGGAACTTCTCTACTGGATTCTTGCTGTCGACAAAAGGGCCATCATGATCGATTGGACAAAGTCAACAGCTATTTGGTCGCTTCTCTGACATGTTTTGCGGCTTTCCTTTACTTTATCCATAATATTTTTCACTTCAATATGCATTTTCTCATTAAATTATCTTATCATTATTGACGTGATATAAAAGTTTTCCCGTAATTAACAAAGATAGATCCTCATAATTCAAAATCCCCCGCATTCACGTCTCATTAAGTCAATAAAAAAAAAACATAAAAAATTTAACGCGAACCCATAAAGCTTTTTATCCTGGCCTAGGACACACGCAAAAACGCGAAAATTCTGATATCGTGGCAATTAGGGTTGCCCATGTGGGTATGTAATTTTCAATTACGTACATTAAGTTTATTATATGCTGGTATTGCATTTTAACGTCCATATTTCACGCCCTAGTGAGCTGTCACTTGACACGTGTTGGGTCATTTTGGTATTGCAATTTAAGTTAAATAAATCTTTCAAAACAATAAAATAATTATTCGTTGTTCAAGTAATCATTAACTCACCATTTGAAATAAATAGGTCACTTTTTAATACTTAATGTATCTAAGAATTTTATTAATAAATTATGTCGCCAACAATAACATTATTTACTATAGATAGCATCGTTTGTCCTAATTTCAACTTGATAGATTGAATTTGGAACAAATTTTCCGATATAAATTAATAAGTGTGAAAGCCTCACATGTGTTCCTAGATAAGAAAAACGGAAATAAAAATAGTTGAATAATGATACTTTCATGTTCATCAGCCAAAATTATTTAATATTAAATAATATAAATGGGTTTGGTAGTAAATATATAAGTCATACTTTAAATGCAAAGATTAAGGATTAGGAAAGTTGGCAGTCGCAAAGTAATCGAAGTTTGTTTGCTCTATTTGGCTCTAGGCTTAATGTTTCTACAGGATGTCCATTTAATTTCAACAGTTTTCATGGCAATGAATAAGCTATAGTTTCAACATTCTGCCAGTTTCGATGGAATGGAACGAACCGATTCAATGGAGTTTTTACCAAACTTTCTTTATTATCATTATTGAAAAACAGAGTTAACAGAGCAGAGGCGGAACCACGAACAATCGCTATCGATAAGTTCTCGACAAGTTCTCACCTCGTCCACCCATCGCTCAACGTTAGTCGCCAAAATTGCCACCGCAAACGTTCGCTTGTACCGCAAATGTTCGTTTGTGGTGGCAATTTTGGACCCTAACGTTGAGCGATGGGTGGACGAGGTGAGAAATGAGGGGAAATTGTCGAGAACTTATCGATAGCGATTGTTTGTGGTTCCAGTGCAGATTTGTTCTGTCAGTCTTTATTACACAACTGTTAACTACTAATAAAGTACATCTAAGCAATTATATCGTAGTAATATTGACAATTGTTTTTCTTCTTGAAATGCTCCTCCTTTCCGACTGTTGGCGGGTTTTATGGTAATCTTGGCCACTGCAGCTCAACACGAACCATCATCGTATTTATTAAAGCGCGTCAAAAAAGTTTTTTGGAGTTGACCATTAGACCAAACTGGCGTGTCTACCATCTCACGATAGGGAAAGGAGTGTAGTACACAGTACCACCCGTAATAAAACAATACCGTACAACTTAATGTTATCTGGAAAAACCCTAAATAAATATCGGCGAAATATATTATCATCAAAGAATGACCATTCAGGATACTTGGGAAGTTTGGGGGTTTATGCTGATCAATTTTAATTTTATTCACAATCGCAAGCAATGGCTTTGGTTCTCATAGAGTCGGTAGGGTTTACAACATATCCTTTTTGTTTGGGCTTTTAACAGAAAGATCCAGACAATATAATAAAATTACATTTATTCGATGCTGAGCCGAACCATTATTTGGGAAAAGGATTATAAAGTCATACAGGGTACCTGAATTAAATGTCCTTTAATATATAATGAGTAAATCCCATTAATTTCATGTAACATCCTATGATTAGTAAGGGCAAACACCACATTAGGGAGGAGCTCTCGAAGGATCCCAGAATTCTGAGCAAAGTTCCTGAGCCTCTCTCCAGAAAGATGGTAGCGGTATCGTATATGACAGCTGACCCTATACATTTATTCGGATTCAAGATCCACAACAAAATAGGAAAATACACAGGGTGTTCAAAAATTACTTCATAAATTATATCACGTGAGCTATGAGATGATTTGAACAAAATTAAGATAAAACTCCATACAACTTCCGCATATAACTTTTCTTCGCACCCTGATGTTTACTATTGAAACGTTGAAGGGAGGTCAAAATAAAACGAATAACTACCAACTAAATATAGATTACTTTGATCATAAGCTGTCAAAAGATACATAAAGTCCTCGAGTAAAGTTTCTTTTCATAAAATATGCTCAGACGATATATCCCTCGATCAATCAAAAATCACTACCTACGCAATATTATATCCGCGATGTCAATCGATATCCGGTCAAATAAGGGGGATTAAATACTGGAAAGAACGTCCCCTTCCACCCAGGGTCGATAAAAATACTAAATAATTAATGTCACGGTCATGTGACATCCAATCACATGACCATTTGTTTGTATGGAAAATAGACACGGCGTTGTAATTTAATTCTCTGAACTCTCTTCATCATTAATATCAGTCGAAGCCTTGTGGTAGGTGTCATCGTAACTATAAACGTGTTGTGGTGAATTATGAAGGAGAGTACATCGTTCGCAGGTTGATAAAGGATTTATTTATATTTATTATTATTATTGATTTAAATTTTTGGTTTTTTCATTTATTGCCACAAATTAAATTTCGAAAATTTTAATTAATCAATCATTTAAATTTAAAACCAACTTAGTAGATCATTGAACGAAATATTATAGTGAGGACCTACAAAATCACTTAGGGTTATTGGTAAATTATTGTAACTAAAATATTCCATCGTACAATATTGCCAACACTTCCATTAAAGAATATACTTTTGATTGCTTCATATTATTTTATTTTATATATTTATTAATATATTGTGAATCTCATCATGTGTCTTGGCGTCTTTATTTTTAAAGTTTCTTTTTAGTAACATGAATTTCTTCTGTCATCGACTTCCCTTTTTTTTTTTTTTTCGGATTTGAGTTTATCGTCTCCGCTTTCTTAACTGTTGTCTTGATTTTATTCCACATAATATGTTCTGATTCCGATGATCCTTCAGATATTCGTGCTAGCTCAACTTTTAGCATATGATCTTCAATGTTTTACCATTTTTTAAACATTTCTGATTCTATTTTCTATGGTTGTGTGATTAATCTAATTTCCTTCTATTCTGTGTGGATCATCAACCGGAGATTTCCAAGTTCAGTTTTGGAAGCTCAGAAAAAGAAGGTATTAGAAATAATTAGATCGTGCTTTTGGCAGAACTAAACAAAACGATTGCTCTTCTCGTTCCTACTTGATGATCTCTCTTCCACATTAAGATTTTGCATTCAAATCACCCTTGACGATGGTCCCATCGAGTTCTTGTGTCCAAATAGCTGGGTTCATGTCCAAAATAAAATTCTTCCAGCGTGTTACCTGCACCATCTGTTATGGGGGTTGTATATTTTTATTGAGTTAATATTGACTAAATTTTAAATAACATTTAGCTCATAATTTAATAATGATCAACACATATTAAAGCCCGGTTAGGTACCACTGAAATCAAAAATCAAATTGTTTGGTATACGATTTCTGTTAGGCCACACTTATATGCTTGAATAAACACGTTGTTCTTCTCTTCTTCAGGTCTGAACTTCAAAAAATCGAACATCCGAATATGGTTGCATCAAAGAAACATGTCCAATCTGCAACAAGTGGTCTGGGAAGGTTACGGACCCAAACTTCTTGTGGAGCACAGCAATAATCCCAAGATGAGGAAGTTTCTGGAGGCTGTACCTTATATCATGGTAAAAAATATTTTATCAGTGTCGTTAATAATTTTAGAAAAATAGGCAAATAAAAAATAAAGACATGATATTTGGAGTATCGTTATCTATAAAATCGAAGCCCTTCTATGAAGAGCAAAATGTCAAGGTTTTACATGAATAGTTTAGTGTGGGAACACAAGCACATTTAAACAGATATCGCTGTCAAATAACAGCTATAATAAATAATACAAGTATATAAAATAAGGTCAATATTGATTATCCTTCTAATAATTTATTGAATTTCCAAATCTTCAAACGGATTTTTTACTTAATTCTAAAACAGGTAGCTACCTTCTATATTTTTGGATAACAATATATATATTTTTTCTAGCCTTAACGGCCTTAAATAGCTGCTATTATTAGTCATTTTCAAGAACAACTGAATAATGACTTCGCAATATAAAAAGATTAAAAAATTACCCCCATTAGGTGTTTTTTGTCGACTCCTAAAAGGTTAATATCTTCTTCAAGAATAACGAACTTATAATGAGTGATGAATGACCCAAGCAGAACTTTTTCTTTTTAATTCCAGAAAGTAAAAAATCCGTGTTAATTTAATCCTGATGTATTTGATAGTGTTTTTTTATGTTTCAACGATTATATCCTTTAGGTAATTTTGCCAATACCTACTTAACTGTTGATTGTTTCAGGGTGTTATAAAAGACGTTCATTGCGACGTCCAAAACGACGATCTAGACAGTCTAAAAAATCGGATAGCACCTCCAGTTCCTCTGGCAGTTTTAACTGCAAAAGATACCAATGGACTAACACCCCTGCATAAGGTACTATATATACATTGGTATTTTTTTCATTTTTCAAAAATGTTCACCAATGCATTTTTAGGCTGTCGGTCTAGGGAAAGCTGAAATTGCAAAGTATATCATAGAACGAGTACCTAATAGTATCAGCATGACAGATAACGAAGGCAGAACACCTCTTCATTACACAGCATTACTAAAAGATGACCAGAAGATGTTCAATTTTTTGATTGAGAATGGTGCTGATGAATCTGCTCTTGATAATGTAAGAATATCTACAGTTAACCATGAATAATCTTATTTTGTTTAAATTTCATTCTAGATTTTCATCATAACTTCTTCGTTTTATAATGGTTTTCTATTGTACCATCTGAAATTATCATAATTTTTTTTTAAAACATTTTAGAGACAAAAAACAGCAGCTTATTACAAAACTCGGACATCAGAATTAGACTCAAAGCTACTCCACGTAGTGCCCGATTGTCCACGAGGAGCCAAGGAGCCTACAAGTTTTGATTGGAGCATGCTCACTTCAACTGCCGCTGCTTTACCTATGAACGGAGTTTTGAAGAAAGCAGCTGAAAAAATTGAAAATGGTAAAGCTTATGGTTTTCAAATAAATACAGTTTTTAAATTTTTCATTGGCAGATGTAAGGGGAGTAAACGACAAGTTGATTCAAGAAGATTCTTCGGGATCTAAAGAAAATGAAGTTCCTAATGAAAGTCCGGAAGAGAAAATCAAAACAGAAGAAGATCCGGCAGAAAATGAAACAGTTAATGGAGATGTTCTCGAAGAAAATGGGGAAGAAGGCAAACCCGAAAATATCATTGAAGGCAAGTAGCTATTGATAATATATTTACCACCGATTCTAATACCTACGCTATTATCTAAGCTTGGTTTAAAAAAAAAAATGAGAACTCACTATTTTATTTGAAATATTCAGTTTCTTTTGGTTTAGTGCAGTGCAGAAGCGTAAGTAGGTAATTTTCAATATTTGAAGTCTGAATTTACTTTTAATTATTAACTTAGTAAAAACCACGAAAATTCTCTGCATTTTTTAATTCTAGATCCAGCAAATGAAAACGGTGACGCTGAAAACGATGATACTGAAGAAGACAACAAAGATAGCGAGGACAATAAAGATAGTCTTGAAAATGACAAAGACTTGGATAATGAAGAATCTGAACAAAAAGCCGAAGAGGAAACAGAAAAAACCGAGGAAATTACTAGTACTGAAGACGAAGTTTTACATAATGAAACTGAGGAAGAAAAACTTGAAGAAGCAGCTGATGAACCACCAACGCAAAATGGAAAAGAAGAAGTTAATAATAATATTGAGCCAGTTGAACCAAATGAGTCTCCCAGAAGTAGAGCAATTAGTCAAAACAGTGGCACACCAAAGACTCCAAGCAGTGCAAGTAACAAAAGCAGCCATGCTAGTCCAGCGAGTAGTTCAAGGATAAGACCAAATAGTGGCATTGAAAATTCTGAAGAAGCTACTGACGCAAAACAAGAGGATAATCATAACGATCCAACTGAAATTGAAGGTGAAGGAGTTATAGAAGGTAAACTTCATGTTGTGGTGTGAACTTTTCCTTTTCTTATACTTTATTTTTATTAGATGTTTTGTTGTAGTTGATAGATATGTGTGTTTTATTTCACTGTATTGTCAAGTATTGTCTAGTCACTTTCCGCAATATATGTGTTTTTTCCATACATTATTTGTGTCTTATTTCAATGGATTATGCTTAAGGTTAGAGTCAATTTCTATGGCCTGGATTCAAATAGAGCTAAAGTATCTTTTGGAAGAAAAAGCTACCAAACTTTAAGCTTTCACTGAAAAGTCATGGTGGTTAGATATGGTGAAGAAGCTTTCAGTTTGTACCAATGGTTCAATTGGTTGTCCGCTAAAAAATATTTATCTAACAGAAAACTTGTATGCCTACCTAAGCTACAAACAATTATACGAAAGTTTTTGTAAAATAAATGAATTTCTGAAAAGCAATTACCTACCATCACTTTTCAATTGAGACCTAAAGTTCGGATTTGCGTGCCAGAAGTCCCAAATCAAAATTTAAAAATAATCAACCTAGAATATCTGTACCTTACACAAATTGAGTGTGGACACCTGGCAAATCGTGTTTCTGTTGTAAAATTTCCGATATTTCTCAATCAGGTGTTGTTAATGGAGAAGACGAGGTAGAGCCCGTGAATAACGAAGGGCAAACCCGTCCTATCACAAACGACGACGACATAAAATCATTGATCAATTCTGGAAATATGGAACAGCTTGCTGCTTTAGTTCTAAACGGCGAAGGAGAAAAGCTGGTTGGAGAGAAAAGCGACAACCAGGAATTGCAGGCTTTTTTAGATAATGTTCCTGTATACATGGTAAGAATCTTCAGTTTGTTCAAATATCAATAGGTATCGAAAAAGCTTGTGACTAAATTTTTCAACCTCACATCGACTTCCGATTTATTTTATTTTAGTAGTAGTTCAAGGAAGTTAAAGTATAATTTTTTCAAAAAATCTCTATTGAACAAAAACTGAAAGATTCTGATTTCATTCCAGTCCAAAATTAAACGTATCCATGAGGCAGCTCGCGAGGGTAGCCTCCGAGATCTACAAGCAGCTTTGGATAGGCGTAAATTTGCTGTGGCAAGGGATAGTAGTTCCCCCAACGGTGCTACGCCCTTACATGTTGCTGTGGCCTTCGGAAGGACCAGTGTGGTCCGATATTTAGCTGGCAGGTAAGATTTTAATATACAGACAGGACCAGGCTACTAGACACATGGGCTTCAATGGAATCAGTTGACTGATATCCATTCTACTGAAGGATCATCATGGTGGAACATTGATCGTCCCTGCATGCTGTTAAAATTTGTGCATCTTCGGCAGCTTGCCTATACTCGGCTTCGCATCGATTCGCCTAAGCTGAGTACAGGCTGATTCGTGTTATTGCTCACTATGGGGGTTTTCATCAAGCGATTGATCAGTCGGTTACTTTGACTGATAAGCAACGTATTTTACGTCATTCGAAACCAATTGGTTGACAAATGACGTTTACTTAATTGTTTATCTGTCAAGTGTAACCGACCGGTCAAACGCTTGAAATCGTCGTATGTGTCTAGTAGGTTGGTCTGGTCTGTATAAATAGAAGAGATGGGTTGACAACTCACGAAATAATGTCGCATTCATCGGAAGCATGAATTTGTTTTGCCATAAGCGCCCTCGCTTCCCCCTTTCGCAGTCAAGTAAGCCACCCAATAGTTCACGCTGCTAAGTTGCCCCTAATGTGCTCCACATGTCAAATTAGACTTAACTAACAAAGTTGAAATAGCTTTGAATAAATAACATTTCTTTTCTTGGTGTTTAGATTTCCCGAAACCGTACATGTTGAGGACGATAATGGCAGATCTTCGTTACACTATGCCGCAGTTTTACGAGACAATGGACATTACTACAACTTGTTGATACATCTTGGAGCTGATAATAGGATAAAAGATAAGGTATGATTAACATTTTCAAGTTCACTTAAAATTTCTAAATCATCTATTCGATATATAGTTTGGTAACACTCCAGAATACTACATGAAGAACCAGTCAGATTTCAACCATAGACAAATTCTTCTAGATTTCGGTGCTCAAGAGGAAGCAGATGAAATTTTAAACGATAAAGGTAGGTAGAAATTGTTTGGCTCACTAGATAGTATTTATTAGAGTACGATACTATAATGTTAGACTGCGTGTTGCATAAAATAAAGATTGTATTACTATTATAAATTTCTACTGTTTTGTGTTTTTGAGATTAAATACAAGCTTTATTTTCGCTTCCAAAGTTTGTATATAATACTGTATGTACTTACAAATAAAAATACGGCGGAAATATATACCCGATAATCTACTTCCAGGATAACTGAGAATTTTTTTCAGGTTTTTTTTTTTCGAATCGAAGTTAATTTCCAGCAAACAGGGCGTTAATTTTTTATTAGGTATATTATTATTGAAGAAAATTTTTAGGCAAAGGCTCTGCATATCAGGGATTTGAACAAAGACATTTCCGGCTGGCGAAATTTGTAATTAAACTGAAACCATCCAGAATATTCAGTATATTGGTTGAAATTTATTTTAACCAGAACACATGAAGCCTCGTTTCGTTTCTCAAAACAAATACATATAATCGCAAAAAGCAACTAACAAACGCGATAGAAACTCCTATAAGCTTGTGAGAAAAACCATTATTAAATTTTAATACAATTTTATTATACAGACAGGACCAGGCTAGTAGAAACAGGGTTCAGTGGGACCAGTTGACTGATACCCATTTCACTGCATGATCGTCACAAATCGTGCATGTTCAGCAGCTCGGTTATGCTCGGATTCCATCTCGATTCGCTTAAACCGGGTACAAGCTAGTTCGTCTTATTATAGGTACTTCCTATGTGTCTAGTAAGTTGGTCCGGTCTGTATATTTGTGAATTCCGTCCCAAATATTAAGTTCGTGAAGGTTGGAATTGGCAGGGCCAGGACAAAAAACATCTATTGTCAATATATTCAAGAAGGGGTGACTAAGCACAGTGTGGAAATTACCGGGAAATATGACTGCTTTTAAAATTCTCTCCAACCGACTTCTTACTTTGAACAAAGTAATCATAGCTGGAGTATCCCTTTTATTGACTTATAAGTACTAGCTTTAAGTTGCCCTGATAGGTATACAGTGTTTTTAAGCTTTTGTTTGTTTTAGACATACCAAAAAGTAGTAATCGAATTCCAGAAACCTCACCTTCATTATGATATCATGGTAATTTATTTAGTGTGTGTAGTTACTTGATTGCTTTTTGAATGTTTTGAAGTTTTCTAATGTCTATATAGTTTGTTTGCTCTTGGCAAATATTGCTTTCTTGTCAGCGGATCTTGAAGAAATAAAAAATTAACGCCTTGTATTATATTCTTTGGCATAACTATATTATATTCTCCAATTTGGGCTTGATAGTTTGCTTGTGAATACTAGAAAATTTTATTTGAACAATTAGAACCGGATGATACGTGGTCAGCAAAGAAAAATCTCGAAGACGAAGATATGCTAGCAGTTTTAGATAGATGCTATACTGTATTGCGTGGAAGAAAAAATTCTTATCCCATATCGGCAGCATCTACAAATACAATAATGTCTTTACAGGCAAATAAAAATCATAAGATATCGGCAATTTTATCGAAACAACTAAAACGGTAGGTCTACAAATAACTCAGTCATTTTAATCTCACAAGGGAAACTCGTTTTAGAACTACTAGAACCTTAGTCAAAATTCAATTTTATTTAAACGGGGTTCTCTATTGAGATAAATTTTAATCAAAACTCATCAATTTTTAAATTACAATAATTCCCGCTCTAGGTATATCTATGATAAAGTCAAAGTAAAACAAACTAAACTAGACCACAATCTATACGATATAATATGGCCGAGTGTTAAAAAACTACCGGCAGACCAAAGCATAAGATTAGCGTTGCAAGGAGACTTTCCTTTGGGTATTGTCGCTCCAGATTTTTACATTTACAAAGTTTTCGAGGCATTTCTAAATCCTATTATAAAAGATTATAATTATATAAATCTTTATCACGACTTGCCCACTCAACCGCCTACTGAGTTTCTACTAAACGGTAATGAGTTGGATGTTGATTTGGATCCTCTGGGAAAACTTATTATAACAGGTAAAATTACTTACACTTGTATGCATAGTCTACTCTCCTCATTCTGGTGTTGGAACCAATTTTATTGTAACTGTTCCGGTTAGGCGACGCAGCTTGATTTCCACTTCTGGAAAACCACTTTTTTTTGCTATTTGATAGCGAACTCTCAAAAAAGGAAATAAAATACCACGTGGGTTGTCTCAAGGTCCCCTTTCTCTTATCGTCAGCTCGTCCAGAGAGCGGCCCCTTTTGGGACAGCCAACATTGTCTTCACCAGACCTTCGTAGTGATTTCGTCAGGACAGGCTTGTATCAGTGTTAAATTGCCAATTATCTACCTTGCAAATTTTTTTTTCTTCAACGTTTCTCCATGACTGTTTAAATTTTATAAATACGTAGGTTGTAGATTGTGATGGTTGGGGTGTTTTCCTTGACGGCTGAGACTGTTGCAGTTTGAAATTTGAGATTTGAATCATCTAGTCAATTTGTTGAACCGCTTCTCTCGATAACCTCACCTTCATTCATATCGGCATATGCTCTTTCACGGGTTTCTTGCCACGCCCATCGTGCGCTTGCATGGTTTTACTAAAAACCCTCTAAGCATATTGAACGAAATAGACTATGCATACTGGTAAATTATTGATAATACAATTTACTTTCAAAAATTCTTTCTAGGAACCCTTGAATGTACACGTAATATCAAAGGCTTTGAATTACCGAAATCTTTATTCCCCAACGAACTGGAAAACGTGGAGCGTTTGATAACAAACATACTCCTAAGTAGACATACTGCGAAAGCTCTTTATCCAGGGGCATCAACGGATGAGATTAAAGAAACCGGTAGCGGAGTTTATTATACCATGAACGAAATACTTGAAGAACCATCAGAAGCTAGAGTTATGTTGGCTAGTAATAGCCTTTTAATTCCTTTGTGGAATATTCCTGAATCTGACCGGCTGCATGGCAAATATTGGCCTTACGGACGAGGAGTTTTTGTTAACAACAGCTGCAATTTAGCTGTTTATGTGAACGTACTGGATCACATAAGAATCGTTACTTGTACATCGCAGTCGAATCCTGGAGCTGTGGGTTTAATATATTCAAGAGTATCAAGGTTGATGGCTATACTGCAAGAAGAACTTGATTTTGTTTTTGATATAAAATTAGGATACTTGTCGGCCAGACCAACAGCTATTGGTTGCGGCTTGAATTTCAGTTTGACACTGAAATGTCCGAACTTGCTTAAAGAACCTGATAACTTAACGTCTTTGTGTTCTGTGAGAACACTGAGTTATTATAGAAACCACAACGCCAGCGATGTATTTAAAGTAGGAAATTGCGTTAATGTTGGAGTAACCGAACTGCAATGCTTCGAAGATTTCACTGTGGCAATTGCCAATATTTTACAGCTCGAGAAAGACATGTCGATGACGAATTCTTTGCATATTGCTGCCATGTTTTTGAATATTTTTAAGAAGAAAAAATTGCTCAATAACAAACAATAGATTTTAGTTTTTATTATTCAGCACTGTGTATATTTCTTTAAATGTTTGTATAGTGCCAAATTTGATGTATTTTACCGAATTTTTTTGTAAATATCATACACTAAATGGACGGATATATTAGTAGGTCAGTAATATTGGATAATGTTCGACATCTTATGACAATTTTTCAAAATGCAAAGAGTAATTACATGATATGATATTTTTTGATTTTCTGATAGAAGAATATAACAGTATTCTTATTCAAAATTGATTAAATGTGATCCCATACACATTACAACAGATCGAGATTATTTTGGGATCCTTGGGTTTATTCCGAGCTTTTTGATTCTAGTCCACATCAATAAGAACATATTACAGAGACTTGCGGAAGCATAGAAAATTAATGTAGGGGAAACATGGTCCTTTATTGTAAAGTTTCAATCATTCAATTCTTTTTGCGTTTTGAATTGTTGCATTTTTTATACACATTTTGTACGTATTAATAGAAAAATGTTTTCTGTCTCTGTCTGTATCCTGTCTTCGAGATTTTCCTTCCGCACGCACTCTTATCACTACCGTCTAACTGTTTCTCTGTATGTCTTCAAATTATCTGCTGTGTGCTTACATTGCATGGATAGCAATGTTGCACTTGGTTGTATTTTAGACACAAATGTCTTTTACTTGTCTGTTTAGTCGTCAATGAATTTTTGATAAATTTGAATTATTGGCGACTAAATTGTGTGAATTTTTTTGTGTTTTGTTATTGATTTAAATTTTTGTCTGTGGCCTTCTATTTGATATAGGTACATCAAGTGATATAACAAACTTCTGTTATAACACTTGCTGTATATAATTTTTTTCTACTTTCTAACAAACACTTTTGGTTTCAGAAGTAACGAACGCAGAAGAAATGGAAGAAAATGGCCAAGTAGACATGCCGTTTTTTGCTACGGAAGAAGGTAGATATCTTGCTTCATGTAAGTATGTTTTCATCGCATTAAAAATAAAAATTAGAATTATTTGGAATCAGAATGAAATGCCACTCTTTCCATTTTAAACTAAAACAAAATATGTTTTAGCCTTAGGTGATCCCTTAATCAAAGGACTAACCGAAGTAGCTAATAAACGTCCCGAGGATCCTATCGCCTACTTAGCAACTTACCTGTATAATTTTGCACGAAGTAGAGATGGACCAAAATCTAGAGGCAAGACACAGGTTAGTTTTATTGGAATTTCTTAGATTTTAAGTCAGGTTGACACGGTACAAGTGTTTGGTCCAAGTATACTCGGATGAAAACTTAGACCAAGTAAATTAGCAGCCAGCCTACTTACTTAGATGTTAGGACCTATCCAACTGGACTTGGATAAGCAGTTGATATGATCCAAGTATGGTCCAAGTGAGGCGCGCGTAGCGTCAAAGGGTACTTGATCCAAGTACACTTGGACCGTGTCTACCTGGCTTTAGAGTTTAACCGAAGTTTAGCCGAAGTTCGCAGCAATAGTATTGTATTGGATGTGTTGGAGGAGTCAATTGCAATGCGATCTAGGCTGATCTTTTGCTGCTAAATTCAGCTTTCTGGCCGAAAGCAGCCTCTCTAGTCCTAAGTCCTTCCTTCAGAAATCTTAGGATTTCCAGTCGTTCCAGAGATGAGAGGTGGTCTAATTGTATCAGGGGACGTCCCAAATTCTTCATCTTTGAACGACTAACGGCATCGCAGTTCAGTAGAAGGTGGTGAGGTGTCTCCTCTACATCTTCACTTTTTTTAGTGTATTCCTAGTCATCGCCTATATTTCTTACGTTCATTAAATGATTTTCTCATATCATAGCGCCTACCTCCATTTCAAATAATATTGTAATTTTTTCTAATAAGGAAGGCCAACATCAGCAAATAATAATAGGAGATGCGCAAACAGCAAATGAAAATCAGGCAGTGCCGGCAACCATTGATGTAGTCACAGTAGAACCTGATGATGGCGGTGATGATGAGTCGGCTTTCAACAGTACTAGTAGAGTAAGTAGCTTATCAGATCCTTACTTAGTTTAACACGTTGGCTGCAATTTTACATTCTTTTCATGTCCATGTTCTTTTTAGGATGAACATGGCCAAAGCATGATCCATTTTGCAGCTTCCCGTGCTCATGGTCGCAACGCGCTCTTTCAGCTCCTATTAGAGAGCGAGGCTAATATTGCCTATAGAGACGAGCTTTACAGAACTGCAAGGGACATCTCGATCCAGGCTAATGTTCCAGAAAATACAGTGGAAATTGATAGATATGTTTTGAATATTGCTACAAATGGTAAGTTATCTTTACTTTCTTCCAGTAAACTGTAAATTTAATAAATATTTTTTCTAGGTGACACAAGCAAACTGGTGGAATTATTACTGAATGGCTACGATCATATCACGGATATTGTAGATGAAGATGAGACTCCTATCATTGATATCGTTGCAAAAGCAAACCAATCAGAGACAGTTTCATTTTTGCAATCAATATTAGCATTTGAGGTACCTACATGTGTTTTTACAGACATAATCAAAATCTATTTGTTGTCAACCTTCTTTTTCAGGAAAAACGTGAAAGAGTCCACCACGCAATAAGACAAGGATCATTCACAGATGTTATGGCATTATTGGCCGATGAAAACGATACTGGAAGTGGCAAATTGTTGGCAATAGGAAAAAATAGTTACGGAAGATGCTCCTTGCATATTGCCGTGCTATGTCAGCAGGAAGAAATTGTCGATTATTTGGCAAATACTTTTTCTGACACTTTACGAATAGGAGATAACGTAAGTTTTCCGTCCATAATTTTGAGCTCAAAAAAAGTCTCATCCATTCCCAAGAACTATAGCTGACATTGGGGCAGCTTGATTTCCGGAAAACAGCTGCAGCTAATGCATTGATTTATTCTTTGGTTTTTGAATTGATTGCGCCGATACTTGGTGAAAATAGAAATTAGAATCCATAGTTGGAAAAAGTGCAAATAATTCTTCTAGTAGAAATTAACTTCACTTTTTATTCCTTGGTTTTTGAAGTTCTCCTATATTTGCAAAGTCTGCACAGGTTTCAAGACTCTTTATTTACAAACTTTTTCATAAATTAGTTACTAGAATAATATTAATTTTCTAATATTATTCTAGTTGGAACGAACAGCACTACACTACGCCATGGGAGTAGAAAAAATGGAAACAATCACCCGGGTATTAATTAAAGCTGGCGCAAAAAGGGTAGTCAAAGATTTAAAAGGCAGACAACCGACTTACTACTTTCTGAACAAGTCTGACATTTTAAGACTGCAAGAAGAGGAAGAGACTTTTTAACAAACGGTAAGTTCTGATCCAGCCAGTGAAAATGTGTGATACGATTTTGTCTTGGATATATAAAATTTTTGAAAATGGTGAAATGGAGAATATAAATTATTTGATAATTGAGAAGAGAGAAACATGTATAGATTTTAACATTGTTTTCGCATTTTAAATTGAATTTTTATAATTGAAATTAAAAAAAAAAAATTACCCAACTAACTATGAAATAGGTACTTCTTGTAGTCAGGCATCTATTTTTTGTTTTCATAGCTATTCCCAGCTTTTTTGATACATAATGTTAGCATTTACTGCTGTCAAACAAAAAAATCAATTTTTCAGTTTAGTAGGTAACACCTTGATGTTTCCAAAAAAACTGCATCATAATAACGTGCATAGTAGTAGTAGATAAATGTAGGAAAATTTTTCTATTTAATAATATTGATAAGAAAACTTATTGGATAAGAGTTGATAGAATTGGAATAATACTTTAGGCAACATTAAAGATAGTTATTGAATAAGATTGGAACACCTTTTTTTGGGATACGCCTTATTCTTCGCAAAATGCCTTCATGTATTCCGTCTGATAGAAAACAATAAAAAATATTCAAACTATTTCTTTGCTAGGTTTCAAAAAGCATTTAAAAAACTATACCGTTTTTGTTAATCTGGTTATTCATCATCACTGTTGAATTTGTCACTTGAAAAACCAAACGACATTTGAAATCTAGTAAGGAAGGCGCAATTAAATAAAAAATATTTTTGAAAATTATGTTTTAGTATCTAGGTTTATGCGTTTCTGGACCTAAATGTAAATTATTTATACCATGTTGAATCTTTTAAATATATAAATAATATATGAATATAAAATTCTGGTTTTATTTTAGTTTTTTTTTCTTCTAGCTCATCCATTTATTTGGATGGGTCCATTGATGAAATCATCAATAGAAAAAGTTGAACTTCGAATGATTGTTGAATTAATCATCATCATCATAGGCGATCACTCGATGTATCTTCCATTTTATCCTTATTGTCTTGGCACACCTAGCCTCTGGCAGCATTGTCTCTTCCTCTCGCTCCTTCCTCCCTCTTTTCGGTCTGGTGTCTGCGTCGCTGTTTTTCAAAAGTTTGTGGTCTGCCATGTTAATGGTAGAACTGTCTTTGAGCAGTCATGTGCAATCTTTAAAAAATAAAAATATAATCTTCGAAGCTATAAATTTGCTAATTCATAGACGGAGCTCCATAAGTATAGGAAATCTCTATGAAGTCCAAGAAGCATTTCATGTAACAATTGGGTGAGGCTTCTGGCTTCTGGCTTTTTCACAACACCGACAATCCGATGTCTTTCTTCATTCCCGCTAGATACGTCTTTGCTCACCTGTTCACATAAGTACAGAAGCGTTTTAATATTAAACTGAAAAACTTTCCTAACCTTGTAGAGCTAGGAAAAACTTTACCAACCTTGTATAGCTCTTCCAGGAATTGCTCTGCATTCCTCTTTGATGAGAAAGTCAGTGAAGAGCGCCCGAAAGTTGTTCAGAAGCTTTCACGCTGTTTCATTAAAGAGTTTCCATGCTGCTTTCTTGGTTATCGTTGCAAGGCGGCATGTCGTGGAATGCCAAGATATTCTTTTTTTGAGCATTGGGAAGAATTTTGCAAATCCCATGTACTGGAAGATATTTTCTTTCTTTTGCTGTACCACTCACCATCCACACTTTACAGCGGTTTTGTCGGAGTGGTGGGTCGACAGCAAACAGATGTCGGTATCCCTGTCCATAAAAACGATGGTGTCAACATCCTCCAGGTACAACTTCAATGGCCTCAAAGTCATGTTGAAGAAGTTCTTGAGAGAGCTAAGCAGAGGGCGAGGTCGGCCTTGTTTTCTCCCAGGGTTAGAAAATGTTTCCAATCTTTTGGCAGTGGAACGGCAGCACTTGTAATATCCCTTCTAATTAGTGATTCCCACGAGAGTCTCATTTTCGAGAGTCTCGCATGGCCTCGTTTCGTTTTCAAGACGAGACTTGAGACGAGACTCGGACTGTCTCGGACAAGACGAGACGAGACTTTTATTGGTCTCGTCTCGAGTCTCGTGTCTCGTGCAAAAGTCTCGCAGGTGAATATTTCTGCATGCAGACAAAGAACACATATAATGTAAATATATGCAGTAGCCGGACTTTCGCGAAACCGCCTACCCCAGTTCCTCGCCTACCCCTCCCATCAGAAATCTGTTGGCAGTGGCGTATATAACGGTGGGAGAATATTTTATATTTTTACAAAATATTTTTTATTTTATGTTTTCACATGACGCAATATTTTATAATTAGGTGCGTTAAAATTACCGCCATCCTGGGGGGGTTTATTTGAAATTGATGCAACTTGGCGCACACGCAAAAATGACGCAAATGACGTCAGATGCGAATGCAAAAGTGCAAGTCAAATAAGCCGTGCACCAATTTTCAATCACGAATGACGTCATTTGCGTGTACGTAAAGTTGCATCAATTTCAAAAAAAGGCCCCCAGGCCTATGATTTATAATTTTCTGTTATTTTAACAGCAACGTTAAGTTATCTGTGACTTATTCTACACGTAAAAACAGAGACAGGTATAGACTTTGAGCTATAACACAACTAAAAATAACAGGAGAGGATACATCATAATACTGTATTCCTTTTATACATTGAGTTACACTGAACCTGTCGCTCTAGAGCTCCTCGGAGTAACTCCAAAACACACAATTCGGATGTTATCATTATTATTTAATATTAACTAACATTACCTAAAAGGGCTTCTTGCACCCCGGTAAATTTGATGAATCAGGGAAAAGGGGGATGCAAGATGCAACATAGGTAAGTATCCTGTACTATGGTTGAATCAAATCCAAGCGGCAATAATGACAATGAGGAATTTGCAATTTTTTTTCTTATTCTCTTATTAAATTCTTCACATTATAAAAAGTCACTTGCCACATAAATTTTAGATTTTCAACTAATCATTTTTCTGTGAAAAAATATAGAAATTCAAAATAATTCTCTTCGCGCCAAAACGCAGTCGTAAATCAATGACGTCACAAGACGATATCCTTCCAAGCGTCAAAACGAGTCTCTGTACTCCCTCCCTGTCTTATCCATTGTCAATTGTGTTTTATGTCATTGTTTGTGCGATTTACATGTATGGTTTGTTTTGTTGTCAAAGTTTCCCCTCGTTTTTATTTTAATCGGTGGCTTCACCAATGAGTTAGCTATCTTTGTTTAGTGAATGAAAAATGATAATGACCGACATACAATAGTGGATCCATCGGTAGAATTCGATGTAAACACAAGCGTCTGACGGCTTACGTTCCACGTTAACATAACCACACTTTTGTTTGTTTATCGTTCGATGACGTCAAAACCAATTTTAGAGCATTTTCGCGCCCATTGTTATTGAATACTTGAAGTAATCCAGACTTTCTATTGGTTGAGATGCCCTACCTGGACCAGTGCGCATGCACGGAGAACATTTGATAGGTTATAATGAAAATAACCAGTTATGCCATTACTGCCGCTTGGATTTGGTTCAACTATAGACTCTAAACTGGAACAAGATTATGTATGACGAGACTCCGAGACATTTGCGAGACTCTCGTACGAGACGCGAGACGAGACGAGACTCGAGACAAGACTTTTTATTTATCGGCGAGACGAGATAAGACTTTATGAAAGTCTCGTCTCGTTGGTCTCGTGGGAATCACTACTTCTAATTGGAGCAGTTCCCCTGGTTCGTCTGCAGCGGGTCCCACTTTTAATTGACTAAGGAGATACCGGTCAAAAAGGATATCGACTCTGGCTTCCAAGGTTAATTATCCTGTCGATGAAGATTGTAGCGAGGTCTCCAAAAGTAGTGGCCTTTGCTGGTTGCCCAATGTTGTTTACTAAAGCTTGACCGTCTATAATCAGTTTGCGATGAAGTGTTCCGATCAATGTCAATGGAATTTGGGCATTCCACGCCTTCAGTAACGAGTTTTACAATCGATGCCTTTTCAGATGATGTGAGTGTGTGATTCATTTCCACCAACGACAATGGTAGGTACCGAAACAAGCTCATGTTTCAAAATGGAGGGCAAGCCAATTTGTCTGCGTCTTTCGTAAGCTGCAAATTGTATTTCGAAAATTGCAAAATATTGCTTAACCACCTAGTACTTTGGCCTCGATTGAGTCCCTATTCACAAGGCCTAAGTAGCAGGATATGTACAAATCTCCCGCCCCCCCTCTTCTATATCTATGTGCGTGTTCTTAAGCAATATTCTACGTAGTACACATTTAACCACTAGAAACTATACATCTGACAGATATTTACACTCCAAATACAAGACGCACGTATACAAAATAATGTTTCGGCGACCATCTTGCGCGCCATCTTTGAATCCACGCACTCCTGACTTAAGGTAAGTGAGTTTTGGGTATTGCAATATGATCAACATTTGAGAAAACCCCTAAGCCGAACTTCAAATCAGTATTATAAGCCAACGCATGAAGGGGATATAGAGAAACAGCGTTTTGAAGGCCATCTTGGCTGCCATCTTTGGATACCAAACTCAAACTCATTATCCAAATTTCGCTTTGGCAACAGGCAGATTCTTATTCAGCGGGGTCGAAATACCTTAAAAACGTTATTTCCCCAATTGTTACATGAAATGCTTCTTGCATTGTTTATTTTTGAAAACGTGTCTGGTCTGTTAATTCAAATTATTCATCTCAACATACATATTGCAGTACTTACATATGTCAAAGAAAGGTGAGAGCCTTCGATCTAGACATAGCAAATCAATATGGATAAAATGCAATGCAAATAAGACATTAGTAAATTTAGAAACAGAAGTGAAACAAGGAGTCTCCCAGAGATAATCGTGGCAAGCATTTCACGAGTTGGCTTGGGCACTGAGTTTCATTTTATTTTTTTTATTTGATGGGTATGTCACAATTTGTTTGATGCCAGGAATCGTCATACGAAATACCAATAAATACGATGACATACTTATTTATATAAAAGTATCGGAAATGTCTAATTATAAAATAGTGTCTAATTAATTTGGTTCGTTTAACTTGGTTTAACTCAGCTGACGATTATTTTCCAAATAGGTATAAATATAAATCATCAAGGCAAAAAAAAACACCAAGGAAATGACTCTTTGGCATTTTGCCAACACTTTGTCATGTATTTATATGAAAACAAAGTCACAGACATCCAATAGCCGGCAAAAAATCGCGAATATAGGCCGACAAACCTAATTTTGTGTCTCGCGCCATCAATTTTTTTTTCATTCCACGGAGTCTCGCGTAAATCAGAAACCTTTCGTCAGTCTCAGTGCGTATTTCAGTGTTAGACAAAAATAATAATAAACGTTATCAGCCCATAGCTTAAATGCCTTATAATTATTGCAAAATGTCAAGAACTAAGCTAATATTAGTTGAACGCCGGAGTTTGCTGCTGATGTGATTTTCAAATGTGGTGGAACCTCGAATAAAGTGGAATTCTGCCTATGTAAATTTATTAGGTCATCGTTTCTGTTTTAACCTAAACCGCGATTTTTTATTGTTTGAATTTTAATAGGTAAGTTATGCTACTTTTGTTATTATTATAGGTATTTAAAATTACATATTTGCTTTACTTGCCGCTTCTATAATATAAAATGATAATTTTTCATGATCTCTCCCACGCGCGTGTACAATATTGACCTTCGATTTTTGAGAGTTTTACCACTACACTGTTGTTTAAGAATTAACTGATTTGACGCCAATGAACTGACGCATTCATTGCTGACTTTATTTACGCAAATTGTATAAAAATGTGCAAATATTGATAAAAACTTACATATTTGGGATTACATACTTACTGTTTATAAGATAAAATTCTTCTACAGTGTGTCCCGCTTTAAACCCTTCCACTGTACTTTCTGATAGATTTTTTTTGTTAAGCACCTACCTACCTACCTATGTTTTTAAAATGTGCAATTAACAAATGGAAACATTTATTTTTCGGATGTACCTAATCAGGGCCAACTAAGATTACTATTACTGGTAGGTATGGTATCCATGGGTGGGCTCAAATTTCGATAAACACTATTAGGAATGTGTGTATTTTTAAATTAAGAAGGAATTTTATAAAAATTTACCACATTTCTCTCTAAATTACTATTTTTGAATACCCCAATTCAATTTAAAGCATTATTAGGAAGACAGGTGTGATCTAGTGGCCCTTAAAAACCAGAACCAAACTATAAAAATGCGTTAACTTAGATAGTATGGCTTCATAAATAAAAAAAAATAGGACACTCTGTAGGTATTTAGAATAATAAAACACGATACAGGTAAGTCAGCCTCAATCCGAATTCCTTATCAGTTTTTTTCACTTTTCATGATCCGAGCTGATAAAAAGGGGTCATAGTTTGCCATGATAACATCGCAAAAATACCTAAATCTTTTCATTTGTTAAAAGCCTACTTCAACCTAACAAAAAATATAATTGAAATTCTAATGTTTGAAAACAATTTTCATACAAAAGTTAATTGTTAAAAATTCCGCAAACTCCACCATACTTTAGCGCTATTTGACATCAGTGCGTAAACTCTTGAAGCCTATTCAAACTAGACCAATCAAAATCCACCGTTTGTTACACCGAGTCTCCATTTACCCTCACAGCTATTCAAACTTTGGCTTGTATTTTATTTAAGTCTATGGCGTCTCCAACCCAAAATTGAGTTTCCAGCAAAATATCAAAAGTCTTCTTTAGTTATTTCAGTTTATACTCCTGACAAAAAAATGGACTTCGTATGTGGAGGTTTAGCAGCCAGCGGTGCATGTTTATTCAGCAACCCCTTCGACGTTCTCAAAACTCGGATGCAACTGCAAGGGGAACTGCAGGCAAAAGGGCAACACACGGTCCATTACCGAAACCCGTTTCACGCAGGGTACGTTGTAGCCAAAAACGAGGGCATTAGAGGGTTGCAGAAAGGGCTCGGAGTAGCTATGGTTTTACATGGAGTTCGAAATTGTGTTAGATTAGGTGAGAATGAATATATTGCCAAACCATTCATATTGATTGATTATTTCTTAGGTATTTACCAAACTTTGGAAAACAAAGGCTTTTTGAGAGACTCGACTGGGAAAACTGTACTGTACAAAAGTGCTTTGGGTAGCGCATTTGCTGGTGCTACTGGAGCGTTTTTTGGAAGCCCACTTTTCCTTATTAAGACTCAGCTTCAGTCGCAGGCTGCTAGACAAATTGCAGTTGGTACTCAGCATGGGCATAACAGCGCCATTCATGCTATCAAAACTATTTACATTCAAAATGGAGTAAGTATTTAGAATTTTTGAGTATCCAGTTCAAAGTTGAGTTGAAATATATATTTATTTTTTTTTTTCAATTTGAAGTCAATTTTTTCAATTAATTACTTAACTTTTACATAAAATTGGTGAAGCTATAAATACAAAACTTCTTCTAAACCGGATTCTTGGTAAAGTCCCCAACATGGGGGGCCGCGCATTACCCCTCTGAATTGCGATACTGATCCGCTGCGTCATGAAGCTTCTAGCATTTTCTGTTTAAATTTTGGCTGCTATGTCAGACACTAATTTTTTAACTTCATCACCCCATGGACCTAGCGTCTCCACTGCAAAGGTGCAAAATAAAAACCCTCTGTCTTCTAACTTTTTATATTTCGCTCTTTTTATCAATTCTTTGATCTTGGCCGCCTCTCCTGTTTTTTGAGAAATTTTGCCAACATTGGAGCTGCAAAGCGTGTCCTTGCAAGTGGCATCTCAAATTGAGAATTTTCTCCCTTTCCAAGGAATCAAAAAGATTTCATCAGCTCGTTTGTCATTACTCCTACGAAAACCAGACGGTTTTGCTGGAAATCCTGCTGAAACTAGAGACCGGTTAATAATGTCATTGGTCAACCTGTGACGAACCCAACGACCAGCACTCTTTTCGCACCTCAGGCCAAATTTCCTTACTATTTCATCGCAAGTGCAAGTGTGAGATTCAAAAACAGTAAGACCAAGACGAAGAATGACGGAAACACGGAGAGACGAGTCATCCAACAATTTTCCTAAAGAAGAAAAGGAAGCACTAAGTCAAGCGTCGCTCTCTGGTTCATTAAGAGCTAGAAGACTGCTTTATCAACTTGACATTTTGAAGATACAAAAATTTGATTAAAGAAAACTTCACTCATTGCTGTATCAAAGTCTTTTTGTGGTTTTGAATTTGAAGTGTCAAAAATGCCAGTTAAATTTCGATATTCATTCGTGGTTTAGATCAAAGCCAAGTCTGGATGTAAAATAATTTCTTCAGGAAGAATTTGTCGAAACAAATATGATGAAACGTTCAAAGAACCAAGAAACGCTGAATAATATGAAGATGAACTTTTTCTAATTCCCAAACCACCCAATTTAGTTGGAAGAGTGCACAGTGACCAGGCGTTCGAATCAATTTTACAATTTATGATATTTTCTAAACTACTTTTCAGAAGATCGTCAAATTTTTCTAAACCTTCGTGCATTCTCCAGCAAGGCGCACTATGCGAAGTAAGTAAGTGACTCTTGGAGTTGAAAGGAATGTTTCAAAAGATAATAGGCAGTATGACAATTTAGAGGTAAATGTTTGTTAGACAATTGTAGAAACATCCAATTTCGATGAAAAAAAATTACCAATTTCTTTTTCAAAGAAGGGTACTCCTAAAAGAAAAGTTTTTCAAAATCAACTTTTGATAAACCATCCAGTTTTGAGTCATAATATGGAATATTTAAATTCCGTTTTCCACTCAAAATTGAAAATTCACACTTTGCCATGTTAATTTTGAAGTCAATATTGAAACATTCTTTTTTCAAAAATTCAAAATTGTCGAGTACGCTACAAAGGTATCCAGCTAAAGTTCCGTCATCGAGATACCATAAGTTTATATCAGATTTTAATTTTGATATTATAGACTGTAGAGATAAACAGAATAGTGGGGGACCTAAGGGATCACCTTTGTTGTACTCCCCTTTGTGAAAAATTGGTTTTTCTCCAAATGATAAAAAAGAAAGAAATCTATAACACTGTGAAATGAAAAATTGTGGTATCTATATGTTCTTCATGACTTGTAATAATATAGTTTCTCTATTTATCATATTGAACACGTCATAAAAGTCAATTTTTTCTCAAAAATGAGGAAAGGACAAAAAACGTCGGTGTCGGACTGAGTGGCTTATTATTTCGCATCCGCTTTTGGTACCAAAACCTAAATAGGTTGGACGAAAAAAATTGCCTACATTTTATAAATTGAAAAACAAACTAATTTTGCTGCTAACCTACGAAAGGTTAAACCAACTGCAATTGGACATAGGTATACCTCCATCTTTTTTACTTAAAGCGCAAAGTGGAACTCCGTAAAAAATGGGTAAAATGCTTCCAGGGACAAAACCATTAAGAATATGCATAATAAATAGCTACAAGAAATTTTGAAGATTTACAGAAAATGTACCTAAACGTCATTCAGAAGGTCTTTCAAATGTTGCGGGCTCAGTGCCTCTATAGCAGCTGCAGAACCCGGTTTAAAAGAAAAAACTGATTTTTCAACATTTCATTAAACAAAATCAAAACTATTGTTAACATTCAAGTCATCTTCAGGAAAGTTTTGCATACCATCATGAGCTGGATGTTCGTCTATAAGTTTGTTGTAGGTTTCCACATTTTTAAATTGTCTTTTATCAAATTTGTTAGAGATCTCGATGCATTTTGTTTGGATTTTTTCGATAATCTGAGACCAGCATATACAAACGTAAAGAGGTGAAACCATGCTTGAAAGTTGTTTTTTGAAACACAGTTTTTCAGAAGTGAAGTAAGTTCTTCAGCAACTAATGGTCGGGCACTTTTTGAAATTCGTTTTGAGACTGGTACTGATGATTTCAAGGAACTTAAAAAAATTTACAGCATTCGAATCATACGAAATATCTTGTGGAAAATCAGGATCTTCTTGTAAAATATTTTTTTTGTTCTTTGATTTAAAGTGTTGGTTGAGATTGCTTTTGCTTGTATAGAAATTGTCACATCCATTGATCATCGGAGCTGCATAGAGAATTTTGTAAACATTTATTGGTATGAATTTTACGGTTGTGAATATTTAAACCAGTTTTGTTTATGAAAATTTTATGGCATGGTAAACAATAGATTTCTTCTAAGTAAATTGTAATCACCGCAGAGTCTGGATTTCTATTGAAATTTACAAAAATTGACGAGTTATATTCATTTTGGCCTTCATATTTACTAACACATATCACTGGGGTTAAAAGTTTTCTCTTCGAATTTTTTTTTCAAATATACACGTAAAAATTAATTTTAAAAATTTCTGAAATCGCCAAACATTCAAAATGAGTGCCAAAAGTACCTAATTTAGACATCCTGGATCCATATTTTTCTTTGCTACTCAAAATAGCTTGAAAATTTTGAAAATCTTGCCAATTTTCTAATATGTATTGGACAGCTTGCTTTCTCACTTTTGGTCTTTGGATAATTATCTTGGCTCCAAAAACAAATTTGCTTACAGAACGAAAAAGACAGTTTTCATCTGCTTCGGTCGAAATAATTTTGAAAACATTGTGGTTGGTTGCCATATTATCATTCGTGAAATTTTTCTTTTCTTCGATCGTTCTTTAAAATACCAGCTTCCTTCAGCTTTTTTTTTTGATGTTTAAAAATATAGGTATTTTTACCAATGTCAGATTTTATATTGAAAATTCTTCCACTTTCACCAAATCTTCACTGTGTATTTTTCCCAACACAACAAACTTTCGAGTTTATTCTACATTATGGCATAGAATTTATGAATTATATCACCGGATGTAATACTCCCTCATCAGTTTTGTAGTACACATCAATCAACGCAACAAAAGAAACATCAAGACTGGTTTGATGAGAATGAATGAAATTCAAGACCTTATATGGTAGGTTACAAAATGAAACGAAATGGAGCGATTAGCTGAATACAATAGGACCAGGGCCTTCTTTCAGGCTAATAAGATGTTAGACGGACCAACCACTCAAGGACTCAATCCCGTATGATCCGAAGATAGCACAAGACTGCCTAAAGACAGTTCTTCCATTAGTTCTCGTTGGAATGACATCTTCAAAAAAATTCCACAGAAACCAATACAACAAGAACTGAGCGACGTTCCCAGATTCACTTGCCGAACTTAGAAATGCCCCTGTAGAGTTACCATTTTTAAAAAGGGAGACAAGGCCCTATGTGGCAACTTCAGAGAAGAACTGCCGGATAGAACCTCCCAGGGACACAGTGTGACTTTAGACCCAACCGAGGTACAGCTGACATGATTTTCAGTGCAAGAGAATTCCATGAGAAATCCATAGAACAAAATCTCCCTCTATACATGGCCTTCATAGATTTAGTGAAAGCATTTGATCCGGTTAACAGAGAAGCTCTTTGGAAGATAGTGGCAAAGGTTAGCTGTCCGCAAAAGTACATCCAGATACTCTTTTCTGCATGATAATATGAATGCAATTGTCCTGGGCATCGATGGACGAAGAGAGTCAAAATTTAGCTCTCGCAAATAAAAATATAAAGAGACAAACTTATGTCGGTGTCGAGTGGTCTAGGACGGACCTCAAACTTTTGAAAAATTCGATACTCACCAGTTCAACTTTTGTTGTTTGAAAATAGAAAATTCCCTTGTACAGATAGGATGTGCAGATAGTAATACCCGTGCCAGATGGGTGAAAAAATAGAGACCAGCGCACTTTCATGTTTTTTTATTTTATTTAATAGTATTCAAACTTCAAACAACATACCTAAATACGATTGTTGTTTTAATATATGTATTTTTTTTCTAGATAACTGGTCTATGGAGAGGCGTAAACGGTACGATGCTCCGAGCGCTGGTTGGTTCTTCAGCCCAACTGACAACATTCGCGATATCGAAAGACAAACTTAAAGAGATTGAGTACTTGAAGAAATCGCCCTTACTAATTTCTTTGGTTGCCAGTATTTTTAGTGGTTTCATACAAACAATTATGATAAATCCTTTTGATGTGGTGTCGACAAGGCTCTACAATCAAGGTAAGAATAAATTGAGCTTTCAATGTTTTTTGTATCAACAACGTCTATTTTCTCATGTGAATTTTATTGGTTTGTGAAGAAGGTCGCAATATTGAATTATAATTTGTGAAACCAAAACACGACATAGAGATATTCACATTTTTGTCCTGTATCCTCATAAAATTGCAGTTTCTGAATTTGAGTGAATGTCATTATATACTATTACAATTTCTTTCAGGAGTCGATGCTAACGGTAAAGGTCTGCTCTACACGGGCGTGGTAGACTGTTTTGCGAAAATCTTCAAGTCAGAAGGAGTCGCCGGCATTTACAAAGGCGTCATTGCTAATTATATGAGATTAGCTCCACACTCTTTATTCTGCTTATTATTCTGGGATATTCTCAAAGATCTAAAAGTCCGATACATTACTTCGAGTCCGAAACGAACGCTGCTTGTAGAAAATCGGTAACACATACCTATTTTTTAATCTTAAACTCCTAAAGGAATAGTTCCTATATTTCTTCAATTTTTTTTTTAACTCGTGTACAGTGGGAATCATTGCAATTGGCACACACTATAAAAATATCTCTCGTAATGTGTCAAATCTGACACACCAGTAATAGCAAAATGCTGCACTAATTAGATTTATTGGTTAGAATTTTGACTCAATACGAGGGATTTTAAAGAGTGTGTGCCAATTGCAATGATTCCCACTGTACATATTTGTGATGTAGGCATGTACCTAAAACAAGTGTAGACTTTTTTGCGTTATTTTCGTTATTTTATATTTGTATTTATAATAATGTTCTTATTAAATATATCTATATAGGTACTTTTTTATTTATTGTTAAATAAAGGCATTTTTATGAAAGAATTTTATTTTTCTATGAATTTCGCCACCTACTGGGAAAAAAAAAAAATTGATTTGTGTAAAATAAATATGTATATTCATGAAACAATACCTACATACATAATAACATTTATAGTATTTACATTTAGCTGTTAGACCAAATGTTTTAATTAATTTCAACTTAATTATTATTGTGTTTTTTTTTTTGTTTGAATATCCCTGTATTTCATGTTACTGAGATGTAGGTAAAAATAAAGGTGTTTTCTTAAATGAACTTAATTATAAAAAAAACACTTTCTGGCTTACATTTAATAGTAAAATTAATTAAAATAATTGGTATTTCTTCTACACAAAATATTTTTAAATACATTACATTGACTTAAGTTATGATGGCACATCTACTTTAATATGGTGCTTGGATATACGTGAAAACATAAATCAGACCAAGTTTTGGTGTCACTGACTTTGCTAAACACCACTACTTACTAGCTATTTTTTTTTTTTACGACAAAGGAATTATTACTTAGCCTAACTATTTACAACTGATATTCTCCGTTCTGGACTTTTGCAATTATTATTGTCAATGTAAGAATTCTTGATTTGATTATTTAACTACTCCAAACAAACCAACACTTGTCTTGCAACTTTAAAAATTGTGTTCTGTTTTCGGTGTAATATAGAAATATCAATATTTGGAATGTTTCATACGAATGTCAGCAGAGGATTTGAAACTATAGAGAAGGTCCGTGTGAGCTTTTTAGCTCCAGAACAAGTACCTGCACACTCACTGAGCGCCAGAGAAAAATAAAATCTCAGCATGACTCTGCAATATATCGAGACTTCTATTTGGGCTTCTCAGCAGAATATCGAAAAAGGATATTCTTATCCAGTCCTCTTCAACTCAAGAAAAAATAATTGAAATAAAATCAGCCAAGTATAACTAGGACAAAATTGCAAAAGTCCAAAATATTCACAGCCTCGGAACACAATCTGGTTTTTTAAACCATGTTCACAAATTGATTCTTCAAAACCGTTCGCTAAACAGATCTGCGGTGATTTTTCCTTTTTTTTTTTTATATAAGATATGACTTATGCTAAATTAAAATAAACTCAATTTAATGCAGAACCTGGCAAATTAACATTTTATTGAACAAATTGAAGTAGTTTTGCACTGTGCGATTAACAATAATAAGAGTTACCAATGAAACTTGCTTTGCTGTGCAAGCTTTATTATTTAATATTAGAAAAACAAACAAAATACAACTAAAAAATAAAAACAAATTGACATTCAATGGATAAATAAATAATAAAAATGTAAGTATTCTATAAAAAATATATTGCCGGAACCAAAAACAAATACATGTGATGATACATTTACGGATATTGCACCATTATAGGACTTTGGGAGTGTTTCATTAAGGGTATTGGATTGAAGATTTGGTTGGTGTCAAAACTGTCAATTTGTAGTTGAATTTGATAGAATCAGCATTCAGAAAAATGATAAAATTCGTTTTTTTGAACCTCCATAACTTGAATTCTTCGAAGTATTTCTAACTGAGCAGCAGAGGATTTTAAATCAACGAACACTTTGAGAGCAATGTAAACAATTATCGATAAGAACTATTAGCTTCATAAATTCTAGTTGGGACGAGAAGGATAGGTATGCTTTTTCTTCTGAGATGCAGCATCACAAAAACGAACCCAAATTAAGATAATTCAAATAAACGAGTTTGGAGGGACTAAACATTTATTGCTCAGAGGAATTGTGGACTTGATGAAGACATCAAAAACAATTTTCCTGATGACCTCAAGAAATATTCTGAAGGCGCATTCTCCTGAGAGAAAGGAAAACTAAACTGCAACTGCTGGGAAGTAATAATTTGCATGTTATGGACACTGAATCCGAGGATCAAAATATTTATTAGTTGGTGGCAGCACTTGGAACAAATGTTGTGCAAATATAGCAAAACTTGTGAAAACCAAGACATTATCTCAAATGTAGCAAAACTTGTGTAAACCAAGACATTATCTCAAATGAAACGGATTCCTATTAGTCTGCAGATGATCACTTCAAAAAGCCAAGGTTTGACGAGGATGTTTTATGGACAAAATATTTGGACTTGCAAAGATCAAGAAAAGCAGATTTACGATGATGATTGCCTATTTTTTTCTGAAATTCATTTAGTGTTAAGCTTTTGTACTGAAGATATCGAAAATTATTGGACATTGGCAGTTTTATACGTTTGTTTATGTTCCTGTAATCATCTCAGGAATAATCCTGATTTATTTTATAAATGAAACCTGTAAGCAGTATGTATGATATATGTATATGAGACTATTCCTTATTACAATTATGACAAAAGTTTGCTTTTGGAAAAAAAATCGACATAAATCAAAAATAGAAAAAAAAAACTGGTCCAGACAGTGGTAATTTATTCTCTAAATTATGAATCCAATACCCTTCAAACACTAAGCTAGTATTAAACCCTCTAACTGATCGGGTCTGTTTTACATTTATTTTTAAAACACACATAGTTTGAGACATAGGTACCTTTAACATTTATTATAATTGAAAAAATAAGAACATTTATTCGCAAAATAAAAATAAAATTTGTTTCAGAAACTGTTTGACATTGAATTACAAAGCACATTGATAAACATTAATTCTATGACTGCTTTGAGCATTGTCGAAAACCCTATTTAATTGAAATGAGACGTTTTCATGCGTAATAAGATTTTCTCACGATAATAATATTAGATGCTATAAGAGAAGCTTGAGAAAATACATATTCTGTGAGAGGGCTTTTGAGTTCTCAGACAGCCATTAAAAATCTATAGGTTACATACAACCATGTAGTACTTTCTATAGACAAAAACTTCTTTATACTCGTTTACAACTTGAGTCACCAAAGCACTTGTATAAAAAGTGCTATTTTAAAAACATCTTGCATAATGTAGGTAATAATGTTAAATTAATTTAGGCATATAAAAACTTAAACATTAAGTAGAAATCCTTATTTCAAGTATTTTGTATTCTATATAGTGACTAAAGTTTAGTGCTATCTACACTGGGATTTTTTTCTCTTTGACTAATTTTTTTTTGCCATCCAACCATTGATTGTGATGCATCAAGACTTACTTTTTCGGCACGCACGAAAGTGGTAAAAAAAATAAAAAAATATAATAATTAAATTTTTCTAGCTCTTGGAGCTAATTGTTAAAATCTTTTAGTATAAAAAATATCACAAACTCATACACAGCTCTGGGGAGTTACCGTTTCCATTTTTAGAATACATTATAAAAAGAGTAAAATATACAATTAAAAAGTCAAAACAAATAATTTATAATAAAACGTTCAAGCAACAATAAAAACTCTTATAACACGCTACAAGGTTTTGAGAAGATAGGTAAACCTTCAGACATAAAATTAAAGTTTTTTGAAAACTTTTTTTTTTACCTATATACCAAATAAAGTAAGTCAAAATGTAGCAACTAAAAACTATCTTAGTTTGTTTACTCTCCTGTTTTAAGAAAATATTCTAACTTTGTCATTTTCCTCAAGTATTGGGTACTCTAGAACCATGTAACTATCTAATAAATCGCATAAAATATCGAATAATAATCATTTCCTTCTTGTTTTTTCATTCAGTAAAGTTGAAAAGTTTATCGATGAAACTTTTCTCAATGTTTAGTTTTGTATGATTGCTTTTAAACCATACTCTCAGTGTCGGGCTGTTGTAAATTGTTATAATCGTTCAACTCGTTCAAGACGCCTTTTCGCAACGAGGTGTCGCTAGATTTCAAACTGTTGCCATTAAAAATTCCAACCAACCATTTTTTGAAGGAAGTCTTCTGCACTAATCTGTTTTGATAGTCCAGTGTTGGCAGAGCATCCAAAGAATGTGTTCTAGGAAAAAAAAAAAGATAATTTTTAGCTACCAGTAACGCTGAGTTACGACATACAACTTCTTGAACAGCCCAACTAATGGTACGATAAAAACAAAAGTAATTAATAAATGACTAGGTACTTACAGTTTTGGTTTTGACGAATCACTGCCTAGAAAATCATTAAAGTCGCTGCCTCCTCTTCGCCTAACTATAACAGGATTTTGTACTTTGGGTGGGCTCAGCAAAGGTACCTGCGCGTCCTCTATAAAACCATGCATCTCTTCTGGCATTACATTTAGCAAATTACCATTCTGGAAATTGTTATTCACCATTTTGTCAGTCGGTATTGCTATTATCTGAATATCCCCGCACTTATCACAGTTATCTAAGCTTTTGGTTGAACGTCTCCTGCCCTGTAAAAAGGCATCTATCAGGTCGGGTGGTTTATTTGACTTCCTTCCTGCAAACAATTCAAATTCAAATAAATGTTAGAATCAATAATTTGATGATTTACCTAACAAAGGCAATGGATCCAAGGACTTGAACTCTCTGATTTTGTTTAGGCCACCAAAACTCTTATGGGGTTCTTCGGAGCTTGAAGCTATACTGGACAGAACCCGTCTAGGTCGTGGTTTTGGTCTACCCTCTTCAGGGGCTTCGATCAGTTGACTTCCGAATGCCGTATTGATCGTTAGTTTGGACCCTATAGGGTCTGGAACATGCAAGTTGTTTCTGTTAACTTTGAGAAAATTACGGGATTGCACCACCGGACTATAATTCTGCAATGTCGAGCAGCTTTCGATGTCTATGCTGGTACCTGAAAATTTTATTTGGTAATGCGGTTCGCTGACATTTTTTAGCATGTAAATTCCTAGCAGTGTATTTTTTTACAAAAAGTAGGCAAATCTGAGTTGAAAAAAATTTTGATTTCTAGGTAGGTATTTAATTACTATCGGATTTATTAAGTTTTGCTAAGCTTTATGAGCAGATATTTTTATATTATGTAAGACCCCTTATTAGGGTTTAAGGACAACATCCCTGTACCTATTTTTTTTACAAGAAATTTTTAGGATTAGAAACCCATTACAAGAATCATAAAAAGTTTCAAATACAAAATATATAAAATTTTGAAAAAAATCATGAAACATATTTTAAAATTAATTTCTACGAACTATTTTGCACAATGTAACAAGTACAGAATATAGCCACAGATACTTTTATAATAAACAAATACAAATAAATAGGATACAAAAAATGCAAACTACAACAACCGTCACCAAATAAAATAATCAAAAACAGCAAAAAATCATTTAAAAGCACGTTTTAACAGCTCAAAATAAAAGCATGGTTTGTACATTAAGTCTAGTGGTGCAACATGCTGAAACGTGAAAAATACACTAAACCTTAATTCTAAGCTGTATTAAAAAAGACAAATTCTTGTGAGAAAAATGTAGCTAAGAAGATTTAACAATTGAAACCATTAATTCGGCTTCAACAAATACAAATTAACTTAGAGACTTGGAGTATACGAAGAATTCTAAAGTTTCTGTTATAAACTAAAACTTCTGGTTATCTTAGAAACCGTCTCAAGCATTTTCGGAGGCAGAAATTATATTTGGTTAAAATATAGAGATCAAAGATAATAAATACTGTTTCGCCTTATCATAAAAAAAACATCTAGCATTTCGCAGATGACAAACAAAGATCTTTCGGATGCAATAAAAAGTGAATGGTCAAATGCCAACAAAGGAAAAATATGTACCTATATAAATAGCTGGAATCCATTAGTTTGTCTTTTTATTATTATTTTTTTCCAAATACATGCTAAGAAAATTATTTTTACCTCTAGGTACACTCGAGTGTCTCCGACTATTCAACCCGTTGAACCCACCAATGATCGACGCCTGCCTGGATTCATTGTTCAATTTTGGACTCCTTCTGGGCCTGCAAAACAGCGGCGGTAGCTCAGTCAAATCCACCTCTCTCGGTTGAATAGCTTGTTCCGTTGCTCCCACCAACCAAAACGTCTCCACTTCGCCTTTGCCTTTCATACTGACCAACCCTCTTTCTTCAATGACGTAACCACCGACCTTTTCCAGGGCATCTTTGCATTGCATGCTGATGTGAATTTTCAAAGGTTCGCCGTTACTCTCCATCCTGGACGCGGTGTTCACCGTGTCGCCGAAGAGGCAGTATCTGGGCATAGTTAGCCCTACAACTCCGGCAACAACTGGACCTGATTTAAGAAATAAGAAAGTTAGTACATCTGTTAAACGACACAAATTTCCAAGCAATGACCAGTATATCAGGCTAAAATTATGTCGCAAGAAAAAGCCAATTATGAAAATATCAAAAAACAAGCTAAACTATAATGTGAAATTCAAGCAAGTATATACTAAAATTCACCTGTATGAATTCCTATCCTAAGTTTCAATGTTTCATTTGGTCTGTGCGCTATGGAATGATTTTTAACGGCAGAAAGTAAGTCCAATGCCATGGAAGCTATTTCGCCCGCATGCCTATCACCGTTTCTAATTGGCAGTCCAGATACCTAGAGACAAATGATATTTATTAATTGGAATAGTTTTCGCCTTCTGTAGGAAAAATTGAAACTTACCACCATGTATGCGTCTCCGATAGTTTCAACCTTGTAGACATCGTACCCTTTGATAATTCGGTCAAATACTGTGTAGAGATCATTGAGAAAGTTAACTACTTGTAAAGGTGTGCTCTCAGCCGACATAGAAGTAAAACCTACTATGTCGCTAAAATAAATCGTAACTAAATCAAAAGATTCTGGTTCTATGCCGTAACCTTTTGTAAGTCTTGCAGCTACAGGCCTAAAAGAAAAATTTGTTATCGAGAACTCATTGTAAAAACTGAAGTAATTACTTTGGAAGCATCCTATGAAGCAGATCTTCTACTTTATTTTTCTCTTCGAACAGAAGCCTTGTACGTTCCATTACCAACTCTTCTAAATTATTGGCGTATTTAACCATCATATCCATCATTTGGTCCATTATATTTTTGCTCCTAAAATAGAATTGCGTTTTTAATAATAAATTAGTTTTTAACCAGAATGCAACGCGGTAATAACCCTAACTTTCAGAATCAAACAAAAACACGAACAAAAATAAATTAAAAAGGATAGTGTCACTTGAAAAATATGTGTCAATTCCCCTGATCAAAATATTATTTTTTGAGTTCAATATGAGGTGAGATGATTTAATTTGATAAATCATATTTCACTTACTTTCCCTCCTTCATCCTCTTTAGTCTAGATCTAACAGTAGCGAAATCTGGCCGTTGTTCTGGATACTCCGACCAGCATTCTTGCATCACTTCTAACACATAATCATCACAGCCAATTTCTGAATCGTAGAGTAGCTCTACGTCTGGACGTACTAGCGGTTGTCCCTCTTTGGGCTCCTTTATAGATAGTACTATATCTGCAAAGCAATATTTCAAATGAAAATTAGAAGCAAGAGGCAAATTACTGTTTCACCTTTTGGTTCATTGTCCACCGGACCGAAAGGTCCTCTCCGACCGATTATTTCATATAATATTAAACCAAACGCGTAGACGTCGCCTTTCTGAGAGCCTCGAGGAAATGCTTCGGGGTACCTGAGTATTTCAGGTGCTTTCCACAACAAATCTGAAAAAGATCCAACTTTAATAGAGACATATTTACCAATTGCAACTTATGACAAACAATACAAAAGGATATTATATGATCATATTAACTATTAAGTTTCATACTTCTATAAGTCTGATGTTCTTCCTCGCTGTCGATGGCAGCAAATTGGCGCAATTCGATCAGCCCAAAGTCGGTAACTTGCAGCACCCATCGACTAGTTACGACGCAATTCGATGACTTCAGGTTACCATGGCACAATAACATTGAATGATGTAAGTAAAGCATCCCCTAAAGATAATAATATTCTTATAATTATTGTCACATGCTGGAGAAATGGATTATTATCGGCTCTTGAGCTTTGAATGCCATTAGGAAAATTCTCATGCGAATCCAGAGTTAATAAAAGTTCAAATTTTGACTATTAACGGCTCTTGATTGGCTCTAGGAAGGTTTTCCAAAGAATCAAGAACCGGTAATAGGTCAAATTTTGATTATCTGTGGCTCTTGATCCATTGAATTATTTTTCTTGAGCCAATTAGAAGCTGCGGAACAAGAAATTTTCATTAGTATCGACTTAAGAGCTACTAATGCTCATTCGAAATTTTGATTATTATCGGCTCTTGAGCTTTGAATGCCCTTAGAAAAATTCTCTTGCAAATCCAGAGTTGATAAAAGTTCAAATTTTAACTATAACCGGCTCTTGATTGGCTTTAGGAAGGTTTTCCAAAAAATCAAGAGCCGGTAATAAGTCAAATTTTGATTATATGTGGCTCTTGATCCATTGGATAATTTTTCTTCAGCCAATTAGAAGCTGCGGAACAAGAAATTTTCATTAGTATCGACTTAAGAGCTACTAATGCTCATTCGAAATTTTGATTATTATTGGCTCTTGAGCTTTGAATGCCCTTAGAAATATTCTCTTGCAAATCCAGAGTTGATAAAAGTTCAAATTTTGACTATTACCGGCTCTTGATTGGAAAGTTTTCCAGAGAATCAAGAGCCGGTAATAGTTCAAATTTTGATTATCTGTGGCTCCTTTATCCATTGGATAATTTTTCTGGAGCAACTAAATACCGAATATCCATATTGGATGCTGTGCTATGTCTGATAGACAAAATGGAAAGATCATGCAGTCTATGCTGATTTATGGAATTTCTCAAGTAGTTTCCAATATTTCCAATTGAGTAAATGAGCCTCCAGCGGTGGTAACTGGAAGAAGTCTACCAGTCGAGTATATTGATCGATATCGGTCATTTTATTTCTCAATTTTATATTAAAGTATTTTTATAAAAAGCATCGCTTATATCCGCTTATGCATATCGCCGCCACTGTTGATTAATGGAACGCGAGTTGACAGTAGAAGAGTGAGTTGTGATTTGGTTTTGTCACTAGTTAAACTTGGCCGTAGGTCACATTTTCAGGATAAACTCCCGCAACCAAAGTTAGGGAGAAATCGCAGCGCAGAATAGAGTTTTTGGTAACAACGAAAACTAATCTGTGTTCTGCAAAAAGTAGGCTGTTAATAGAGGCACCAAACTTAGAAAGATGATTACCATTATCCAAATATTAATTGTTTCTAGAATCTAGACCTCCTTGAAGTTTCAGATACTTGAATTTGTTAGGTCAGATTTTTCGAAAAACAATGATTGAAGGGCATCTTATTCCTATGAAGAATCTGTATAGATGTAAACAGACCAAACTACGGAGACATCCAGAATAAAATGCGAAGGTGCCAAAGAGACATTTTGTAAAGGAAGATGTAAGGCAATAGAAGATCTTCAAACCACATATGTTCAATCTTCCAGGAAGACAAAAATGCAAATTGGGCCAAAGATTGCCACACTCTAGGGTAAAATTGAGAAGATGCATGAGGGAAGTAAATGGTAAAAAAGTGACATTTTCCTACTTTCGAAAATTCAGTTATGTGAACATTACCTATATGGATGTAAATAAAATTCATTTAATGCCTATATAACTTACCTTAATGAGATCATGAACTAATGAAGCGATGAACATTTTATCCAACTTAATATCCTCGTTCTCTATAATATCCTAAAACAAAAAAGGCATAAACATTATAACAATATTTTAGACAATAACTCAGTGATTTAACTTATAGCGTTATGGGTAGAGCTGAAAATATCAGATACTCGAAATTGCCTCTCGACTCAAGCAAGCTTCTGCTTCAAGAATTGTTACTTTTCACTTAATTTGAACTTCTTTGATAATCAGAATAATTACTTACATATAAACTTCCTTTGGCACAATAATCCGTGACTAGCAACAAGGATGTGGGTTGAACACAAGCCCCTATGAAGGAATTGACGTTGTCATGCCTCAATTCCCTCAACAGCCTCATTTCCTTCATCACTTCTCTGGAAATATCCTTCTTGCGAGAAAATGTCAGATCTTTAATTCTTACCACCACCCCTCTGTATTGGGCTGTTGTAGTGAATACTTGTAGTCCTCCCTTGGATTCGTACGAGGTAACACTGGCGCTACATAAACTAAGCTGAAAACATAGGAATTATTATTTATGGTACCCCACTAATAACTAATTACTAACCCGACTGGGACTAGATCCAATATCCCTATCATAATATGTATGTATATCATCTCTGTCAATTTTCCATAGAAGTCCCTCGATTTCCTGCTCAATCTTCCACTTTCTATAAATACTCATGGTGATAACGCCTGCGCAAAAGAGCAGTACAGCCAAAATACCAGCAACAATAATGCTGTTTCGATGAGTGTCAGTTTTCTGGCAAAGTTTGTTGTCAAAACCACAGCTGGGTTCGTCATTCGGTTTATCAGTTCCTGCCCAGAGAATTTGGGTATTGGGATTGATTTTGTATTGCTAAAATATTGGTAAATAGGTACATAAAAACATAAACAAGTCATATATTTTTGGAAATTTAGGTGCAGTTCTAAAATATGTTTTTTCTAATTATGAAAAACTTATTTCAGAACCGCACTGTAGGTAGGTATATAATAAAATATTTGGTTGAAATTTTAAGTTTTGAGCAATGAACCGATGCCCACGGCAAGATCTTCATGGGTTGAATCGATGAAATAAAATGAAAAAAGAAAAAACAAACAAAAAAGATTACTTACTTACCGGATATGCGGACTCTTCGGATTGGTAGAATTGACCTACAGGCGCTAAATGGAACGTACAAGTAAAATTATTATACAAATGAATTTCCTCTGTCTCCTTATAGGCCAGTACTGAAAAATTGCCTTCGGAATCGCCGTTTTTGTCAAGTTTTATGACAGCTCCTGTTATACCTAAAATTAACATCTTTTTAAAAAGTGGACAACAAATTTTACATTCACATACTTCTGTAGGTTTCATTGATGGTAATAATCGTTTCAATAATTCTGGTACCATTGGTGGAAATATCCCTTATCACTTTATCATTAATTATGGGTTCTTTGGCCAGTAAATGATGAAGTGCTGAGGCATAAAGTTTCACAGAGTCGTATAAATAGGCCGCATAAATACTGACAAACTAAAAAAAAAGAGAAAAGTTTAGGACGAATAGGGTTGCTGTTCAGCTTCCAAACGAGAGATGTGAAATAGTAGATTTGACACAAAAAACGGACAGTCAATCAAATCGTGGAGGAGCTTGTGAATACCTTCTCGCATGCTACCAAAATCTGGACCATATTATCAGGTCATACTTAATTCCTCTATCGCTGTAGAAAGGTACCCTCCTTCTCAAATATTTGAGAAAACGCCTATGGATAGCTTGTATAGAACTGTTGTGACAGTCACACAATGAACTGAAGAAGCGATTCATAATCTAGCCAGTTGTAGAACTAGTTTTTATCGTTAGGTATTGACCAGTTTCCCGGTTGAATAATCAAATGAAATCTACTCCTAAGTACAGTTTAAAATTTTAAAGTCCAGATCTGTTTGTTCTCTTTCAATCTCAGGAGTCAGGGCAGGTAATTTCCAGTAATATTTTACTGCGCCGTTACTGTTTTGATTTCTATGCCTGAGCTTTGGCGATAATGGGAATATGGCTGCTTACCCACCCAAGAGATGCGCCATTGAACAAGAACATCAATATTTGCCTGGATGAGTCATTTGGGTGGGAGAATTAAAGATCGCCAGTATAGGCTAGTTTGGCAGTGGGATCATCAACAAAAATATTAAGTAGAAGAGGCCCCAGAATGGATCGCCAGACGTGAGAACAAACGTGTAAGATCGGAGATCCTTGACTTCCACAAACTGCCTGCGATCCAAAAGGTACATAAGTACGATTTCAGAAGAGTCTCTTTGAAAAACCCCAAACAGTATATATGCCTTTTGCAATTGAATATGTTTATCAATCTGATCAAATCAATCATCGGTTTGGCTGCTATCATGAAGTGCCTTGCAAACAAAGTGTGAGAGAGAGCAAAGATTGGATGGAGATGCGCGACCTTTATGAAAAGAAACCATGTTACTAAACGGAAAGACTGAGAAGATTTTTTTTTGTGAAAGATATTCTCAAATATTTTGGAAAAGTTCCAGAGGATGATGGAGATAGGACGTTAATTCTAAATTACCTACTGATAAAATAAGTTTTTTTTTTTTGAGGATGAAACCGACTGAGGGTCCTGCTCGCAGCAACTATGTCATCATCAGTAATTGGCGGTTATATATTTTCTTGAAGCAGGTCATCAACAAATTTTTTTTATTCAACAATAAAGCCAGAGAGAAATAGAGAAAACTAGATTTCAGTCTTACCTTTTCTAATTGAAAAAGTCGTTTACTATGTTCAGTTAGAAAACTTGATGTTTGAAAATTAAATGGCTCCCTGTTGCTGTAATCTCGCACTTTTTCGGAAAAAGTCTTGTAGTTCTCCGTAGGTGCCGTGGGCACCACGACAAATAACGATTTGACGCGTTTTACCAAACTAGAAGAGTCTGATAGTTCATGACAGTTCTTGAATTTTTGCACCTCATCGGACTCTGAAAGAAAATAGATCATTGAAAATCAGAAACTTGTCAGATTAAATAGGAAACGAAATATAAAATTAAATAGAAAAACTTACTGAAAATATATCTGTGAACTTCTTTTTGAAGGTAGGCATTCATATCTACATAAATCACGATGTATTCCCCTTGTTCAAACAATTGAGCCGTCTGCATTGTGCCCATAAAATCGACCAATGAAATTGAAGTACCAAGGAATATATAGACTGGAAATAAAAATCAATAAACGTTGAGCCCAGTAAATTATTTAAGAAACATTTTTACTTCTTGTTTTATTCTTCGAATTTTGAATAAAATCATACCAAAACCCCAGCTGACAACACTTATAATTCTGTTCGCAGCATTTATGCCTGTCTCCAGCATTTTTCTTGTGTTGCACCGACATATTTTTGGCTGCTGCTTGTTTTTCCAATGAATGAGCCACAGTGTCCCATCCTTCTTCGTATACAATCGAAAACTTTTTCCAATTGTAGTAATTCAATAGAGACACTATGGATTTGGTAACCTAAAATAAACATACACACTAATTAGTATCATATCCGACATTTTTGTGAAAAGCTTAAACAAGTAGTGTATACTAGAATCAGATTTTTTTGATTAAAAGGCGACCTTTTATTTTATTCATAACCCAATATGGTGAATCTGAGCCTTAGGGATTGAGATATTGTACCTGAGTATCTGGCGGCTCGGTGCGGGCAAATGTGGGGACGTCCGAGGCTTTGTAATCAGAACATTTCTATAAAATAAAAACAAAGTAATGCTCAACTCAAAAACAGATAAGATCTACTTACATAACTAATCATGGGAATATTTCTGGCTTGGGACACGATAGCTTCTACATAGCAGGGGCCTTCGGGTCCAAAAAACGCTGCCACACCGTCGCAAACCATATCGGTCATAGCTCTGGTGGCCAGCACTGTATCTCCTTTCGTGTCGTTCCATCGCAAATCAAGAGTTACATTGGGTAGTATAACTTGGTTATTGTTGATCTAACAGGATGAGATAGTTTAGTAAAGTCAATTAGTTCCAATATGTAGATACCTATTTTAGTAGATTGAATTATTTGTATGTACCAGAGAAGGCTGTCCATAATTAAATCATCAAGTAGCAGCGAAGCTCTAATCAAAGTTCTGGAAATAGAAGCGGCCTATAAGATATCCGAAGCAAAGATTAGAGATGTGTCAATTCGAGAAGAAAAAGAACCAATAGGAGGAATTTTCAAAGACTCGATGAAGAAAGTTCTGGAAAAATTACGGAAGGAGGCTGTTATCAAAATACAACAAGGGAACTGAAACGGGATATTGAATGTTATCGCTGCGGAAGATGAGGACAAACATCTCGATATTCTTCTGGTGACTTCGTTTAAGAAGTTGCAAACTCTGGTAGACTGGATACCATCGCAGATAACTTACCCAGGCGACTATGCCTAGTTCAATACAAGCACTGCTCCAGAGTAGCGTCAAAAAGCCCCTGTTAGAGGCCATCAATTTGAAATGGATCAAGAACGCAGTAAAAATTAATTAATCAGAGGATAGTGACATCAAATCATCTGTCAACCTAAAGGAAACCGGTTATATAGATGACCAACAATCTGGAAAAAGAAAAATCTGGAAAGTGAAGACAGAAAACCCGAAAACAAGAAGATTGATGGGACGCGACTGCTAATCTACAAGATCAATATTACCTATACTGAGGAATGTTGTTGTCACTGAAGAGAGTTTTAATGGACTCGCTGAATTCATGATAATATTATAATAATACTTCTCATTTAATACTATTAGGTACGTATGTTATTATTTAAAATAAAAACTATTAAATAATGAAGCGTGGGAAAAAATTATTCCTTATTCATAAAAAATATTTTACGAGTTATATAATGAACATAAAAAAAAATAATTAGCAAGAGTTATCATAACAAAAAGGGACGCCTCAACAGGAAAAAGTAACCGTAGACAGCTTAAAAATAATCCGGAAAATATTCGGGATTTGGCCCAAGGGCTTGATTTATCCCTTATTTATAGAAAAAAAAAACACGTAATGTTAATCAGGATTCTCCTCTTTCTTTGGTAAATATGGAGATAGAAACGTGATAAAAAAAAACTTATCTTTGCGTCAAGTTAGGTACTTACCTCTTCAATCGCCATGGAAATAGCACCGGAAATAGCTATGCCTTGTCGTTCTTTTAAGTCCCCCTTCACAGCCGTCAGATACCCAAGTACCAGCTTCACCTTTTCCGAGGACGGTTCCTTTTTGAGGTTTTCCACGGTGAGGTTCTCTCTGTTGACGTCATCTGTTCCCATCGAAGATATGATGTCCGGGTCCTCATTACTGAAGCTATTGTTGATTTCTTTCTCGTAAAATGTCGGTGAGGATCCTGAAAAAGAAACATTTAGAGCCATCACCAGGGCCGCCACTAGGGTGTTAGCCGCCTGTGTTCCCAAACAATTTTCGCCGCCCCACTTCCATCTAAAGTACGAAATTGAGAGCGTTGGAATGGAATAAAATTTTTAGACTTCAACGTATGAGTCGTGGACCGTGGTAAAGATGAAGGAAGGACTATACAGAAGGGAGTCGCACATCAGTAGTGACGTCACAAGGGTATCAGCGCTTGACAATAATAGGAAATCCTCCTTGCTTATAATCCTTGGTTTGTGTCAATCGTTCGTCGGCTGTCATTGGCTGTCTTTCTCAAGTCTCTCTTCTCTCTCCTGTAACGAAATTTGTCAAAACGTGACACGTCTTACATCACTCTCCATTCTGGTCCAAATATCAGACCGCCGCCTAAGAAGTTTCACTTCAAAAAATCGAGTTTTCATAAGGGTAGGTACCCCCCTTTGAATTTTAATTTCAAAATCTTCAAACCTCGATTGCTCGGTAACCGTTGGGCGAATTGCATTGAAATTTCCAGCATTTGTAGCTCTAATCAAGTTCTGAATGGCCTGTAATTTACATTATTTCCAGATTTATAGTTTTTGAGCAAATTGAGTTTGAAATTTTTGACAAAATTTGGACTAAAAGCCAACTTTGAGGCTCAATTCCTTAAAAAATATTTGAGCTATCAAACTAAATTTTACACAGATTTATAGAGAATTTAGTGCTCTTTCCAATGGTATATAACTTGTTTCAATTTGCTTGTAATTTAACAAAGAAATCGGAAAAATTTTCTAGAGCCAAAAATAGGATTTTCTTTTTATTTTTGTTTCTGCTTAAAATGGCCATTTGGAATTGATGTCAGGGTTGTTTTCCACTAATTTTGACCCACTCTATTCATTAATGAAGTCAAAACTGAGCAAAACTAAACATTAAAAAAATTGAGTTTTTCATAAGGATACCTCCTTAGATTTCTGACTTCAAAATATTCAAACCTCAAATGCTCCGTAACCGTTGAGCAAATTGCATTGAAATTTTCAGCATTTATAGCACTAATCAAGTTCTTAGGCGGCGGCGGTCTGATAATTGGATGAGAATGGAAAGTGATTTGAAAGACTTGCACGTTTTGGGATATTTCGTTTCACGAGAGAGAAGGAAGATATGACGTAGAGAGACGGACTTAATGATAATGACAGTCGACGAACGATTGACACACACAACCCAAGGATTATAAGCAAGGAGGATTGCCTATTATTGTCAAGCGCCGATACCCTTGTGATGTCACTACAGATGGGCGACTCCCTTTTGTGTTGTCCTTGGTCTTTATGTGTGTCAGATAAAAACGACGGCCAATAGGTAACCATACGTATATGATTGAATGAACATAAGCAATCTAAACGGTATTCATTTTTAATGACGTCATTTTAATTAATAAACACACATTGCACAAACAGAATGTCAATTTGACAATTATTATTTATTGTGTAAGCAACTTTTAGTATCACTTTTGCTATTCTGTTTTTTTATTCTTCTGGTAGCAATGGGTAGCATCATGAAACAATAATAATCTCCAGGCCTAGGGGGGGGGGGGCAAGTGCCCCATTTGCCCCCCCCCCCCCTATAGACGCCCCTGGTAGAGAGTATACACACCGGACAAACCTACTAGATACATAAGACGAATTAGCTTGTACACGGTTTAGGTGAATCGAAGCGGTGCTACCGAAGCCGATTATAGCCGAGCTGCCGAAGATGCACGAATTTTAATAACATGCACGGAGGATCCAAATGATCCATCATGATGATTCTGCAGTGAAATGGGTGTAAGTCAACTGGTTCCATTGAAGCCTATGTGTCTAGTAGCCTGGTCCTGTCTGTATGTCTATATGCTCAAAAAAGTCAAAGAATATATTATAAAAAAAGGAAGTTCTAGGAGTGTGACAAGTACTGGATGTATTTTAATGTGATAAGTGATAGCTTAGGAAAAAGTACTTACCATTGAGGAAAGAATAGTAGTTCGATATCTGGTCGGTGTTGTAGGGTAGCTCTGATGTCGCCGGGGCCCAATCAGGAGGCAGTACGGACTCGGCGATGGAGGGAGTTTGCGAGAGACACAGTAGTAGTGGGACCAGCAGAGAAGCCAGGCCTAGGCGCATGGCCGGGCTCCCCCTTTACTAGAGTGCCAGGGACACCTAGAACAAATAAAAAATTTTGAACAACAACTACAAAGATGGAATAATATTGAAAAAATTGGAAACCTATAGGATTTGCTTTGATCCATAATATTATTACATATTTACGGATAAGTCATTTTAGTTCTATCTTATCTTGCATGATTTATCGAGCATAGAAATTATCTTGGCAAAAAGCCCATAAATGTTTTTGCATCATCCAAATTTATTGTTTTGATACACGTATTTATTATCAAATGAATACTACTAAAGCCAATCCTGTTGCAAAGCACACACAGATCCGCTAATTCCAACTAATTAGACATCAGTATCACTGCCAGTGGCGTAGCCAGGATTTTGTCTTGGGGGGGGGGGGCGAATTTGTGAGAAGTGTTTCTTGCAGCCCCACCGTGACTGCTGAATGTGAACTTTTTGGGTGCGACGCCCCCTTTTTAGGTTTATTTAGGCTATTTTTGGGACTGTTTATTTTAATTTTGAAGATTTATTCATAAAATTTGAGGGTCTTGGGGAGGGGGGGCAAATGCCCCCTTGCCCCCCCTGGCTACGCCAGTGATCACTGCGTTATTTCCCGGAAAATTACCATATAGTTCCAAATTTAGGCAAATCTCCCAAACGTAGTGGGAGTTTTTATTAATCACGTCGGTGGCATTCTGGGCAGTGTGCTGTTTGTGGTTTGTTTCTCACAATAAAACGACGGCAATAAATAATTTATCAATAGATCAAATGCACCGCCGCCCGATCCAACACGCACGTGACTTACAATATTATCGCTAATTCGGCGTGTTAACAAGGCGCATATACGCGAATATAAATGTGAACGAGGACGATCATGGGAATATCGGTTTTATTATCATGACATTGGTATAAATACCAAAAATATGGGCATCCATAATCCATAAAGGATTTGACATCTTTCTAGATGCTTACCTACTTTGAATTATTTGCCAAAGTTTGTTATAGTTCCACACTATCTTTTGAATAAAAAACAAATTATCCGATGTTCAATCAAAAGTTTTTATTTCTAACACCACGACCCCAATGATGACGTGGGTATACCCAAACGAACAATGGCTTTTGGTTCAAGTGAAATTATGACAATTTCATAAAATGACAAAATCTTTAGAGTCTATAGAATATTCAGAACTTTCCTGTCTATAGCCTAGTACTCATAACTGCGAAATTCGCACTTTTTTGACATTGCTTCGACAATTTGACGTTTGATTCACGCATAAAACGTCGAATTGTCGAAGCAATGTCAAAAAAGTGCGAATTTCGCAGTTATGAGTACAAGGCTTATAACCCAAATTTGACCTGGTTTCCACAGGATAGGGCGATAGCACCCACAGCAGCAGTACCTATCAATGGACACTATACGTGAATTATTTTAAGGAACTGTTATTTCGAAATTTGGGGACATCTCTTTCCGGCCAAGATCACCAGATTTTATGCCCCTAGACTTTTATGTAGGGATATTTGAAGAGTATCGTCCACACCGATCCACCAGCCACTACGGAGCAGTCAAAACACAACATTCGAGAGGCCATTTCCAACATTTCTATTGAAATGTGTCAGCGGGTCTTTCAACAATTAAGAGCATCATTGGGGGAGTGTTATGCAAGGGATGGTCGAGATTTGGACAACATTGTGTTTTGTTCATCTTTCAACGATTATATCTCAAACCGTAATACGTACAAGACTTATTCTCATTTAAAAGTCAAATTATTTTCACGACATATGAAAAATACTGGCAAAATCCTTTTGAGGCTTCATCTTATATCAGAAGAGTCTTCATTCTAAAATATTAAAAAAAAATCTTTTTCAAAGCTATCAAAATCTTTAAAGATATTAATCTTCAGTCTTTTGTATTTTAAAATCTTGAGCCTTAAGTCATCATATAATAAGCATAAGTATCGAAACACTCTGGGTCCGTTCTCACAAGAGTCTCTGACAGTTTGCAAACAGTCAGAAAGCATCGCCCATACTAATCGCTAACTTAGCTCAGCGATTGTTTCTGACAGTTTGCAAACTATTAGAGACTCTTTTGAGAACACACCTTCTGACAACTTGAAAATCGACTGAAATTTTCAGAATCTTCGAAAACAGAACCGAATCCGAAAAATATGTCTATGAAAACAATACCTAATAGGCTAGGAAGGTAATGCCTGAAATAAAAAAACAAATATTGTATGCAATTTTAGTGAGTTACCAGAAATGCAATAGATTTGATTAGCGAACTGTTCCTGAATCTAACCAAGTACCATCAGTCAATAACCAGTCAATTTGTATAACAAAGGCTAACAATTTGCTCTTCATATTCGATTTTTCAGCTCAAGTGCATAATACTTATTAATAGTGTGTACCCTCTCCGAAACTTTTATCGACTTTTGGCTTATACCAATATCAGTGTTTGTAAATGCTAGGTATTTTGATCGATAACGCTTGATAAGGATTTTTTGGAGTATAACCACTCAGACTGAACGAGGCTCTCCAAATGTATTGTGTTGATATTTTGTCTAAATTATGATTTGATAGACATCGTACTATCTTGAGCATCCTGTATATTAAGATATAGGTGGTTGGACCCTGAACCGGCAAGTATATTGTCGGATAAGACACCACATAAATATCATATATGCAAATTAACGAGCAAATTAACTAATTCGGCCCACTTGTTGAACACTTCCTCGAGAGTAGCAGCTAATAAATATTTGTGGGTACGACCGACGCGTGAATCACAATAAAATTTAATAAACATTATTTTAATCCACTTTACATTAAGTATTAAATTAAATCAGCCATTCACACATTGATCAGTTTTGATTGTAACCCATTTGCCACTTGACATTTCGCGTAAATTATCATCAGATAATCGAGCCTTAATTGAGTTAGTTTGGTGGAGTGCCTGATGGGTTTTGACAAATGATTTTTTACCATTCAATGTCCAATGATCACAGGTATTTGAAACAGAAATCACTGGACTGGAAGTATAGCAAAATTCATGAGAATGAGAAGTAAAATTGTGTTTTTATAGTATCCGAGTGATTAACTTTTTTCCTTCATTTACATTTAAACAATTGTCCTTCTGAGAAGTCAGAGAGTTTTCAAATTAACTCGAAATGCCGAGATAGAGGCTGTATGATTTACAGAGGAAATATTTATAGCGGCATCGTACAATTATTCCTATCCTATGCCAACTTCAAAATGCATAATTTTCTAGAATTTACCCATAAATTTGTTTCAGGAATGCTATTTTTTTTTTGAGAATTATTTTAATATTTTATGTGTCTCAGCTTATCTTTAATACCTTCTTTTTTAAATTTAGAATAACACATTCTGCCAAATAGGTTTTTAAATCATATAGGTACTCAAACTATCTTGACATCATAGGTATTTTTCAATTAACAGGGATTTCTGCTGTTAGAATTCAAAGAAACTGTGTGCTTATTCTTGCATATCATCGGGAAAGACGGAAAACTCGTTCGCCTGAGAATGCTGCTCCCCTGTTTCAAGAATAAGGACCCTGGGCTGGGACTCTTTAACGAATAGTCTCTGGCAGTCTCTGGCAGCATTGTCTCTTCCTCTGTTCTCTCGCTCCTTCCTGCGGTCCCTCTTTTCGGTGTCTGCGTCGCTGGCTGTTCTTCAAAAGTTTGTGGTCCGTCGTGGACTACTCGACGCCATTTGCTGTCGTCTCGACTCGTCTACCAGTTGCTGGTATCGATGTGGCACTTTGCCATATTTTCTTTTAGAACATCTTTGTAGCGTTTTTGTTGACCGCCTGGATTTCGTTTTCTCTTTTTCCCTCCTCTAGTTGACTGTAGAGAATTTGTTGTGGAAGACGTGTTTCGGGCATGAGACCTGTCCAGCGAAATTGGTGCTTAATGATGAGGGCTTCCATGTTAATTGTTTTGGCCTCCTCTGAAATACTAGAGTTCATTCGTCGGTCTTGCCATTTAATTCGTAGGATACAATACTCCAGTGTTGCCAATAATCATAATAGAGAGTATCAGCATAACATAAATAGCGTAAATACGACAATTTTAAGATCTAACGTCTATGTGTTTGGACCTCTTATGTACAATGGGATTAATTATTGACAATTTGTGTGCATTTTGGTTATCAATAAATAGTGTAACACACAAATTATTGTCAATGTCCAAAATTTCACAATAGACATTGTTAGTATAGATTGCTTCCTTAGAAGCTTCACTGAGTGCCATATACTCTGCCTCTGTCGAGCTAAGTGCTACCGTTTTCTGTTAACTACTTTCCCAACTTATAGCCCCCCGTGAAAGTTTGGAAACGAAACCGGTATATGACCTCCTGTCTTTCTTATTTGATGCCAAATCTGCACCTGCAAAGCTTTCTAATTTACAATTACCTTTTGCAAATTTTAAATTATAACTGTACCATGCAAATACTTTAATACACGCTTCGCATTTTTCCAATGAACATTAGTAAAACAAGTATTATATTATATTGACTAAGAATACTTACTGAAAAACAGATATCTGGCCTTGTTAATACTGCCAGGTACATAAGGCTACCTATCAATTTTTGATAAGGGATATTTTTATCAGTACATTTGGCTACTTCTACATTTTCATAATCGATGCTCATATCTAAAAGTTTTATTACACTTTTGCACTCTAACCAAATTTTCTCAATATCTGATCAATATATTATACCTCCTGATCTGATAAAATTGAACCATCACCGCCATACTGCACCTTAATTCCTAAAACCTGTTCAGCATGGCTTTTAAAAACCCTGTTTCTTTTTGACAATTACTGAAAATGAAACAATCATCCACATAGGTATAGTGTTATAATTATTGTCAAATAATTGCCATTTTTGTAGTAAACAAACATGGTTCATATGCTGACTTTTTATACCCCGATTACAACAACACTTCATCTACCCTAAAATTCCATTGCCTTGAACTTTGCTTAAGTCCATGAATTTTTTAATTTAAGAACCTTATTGTTCCCTATTTCCAAACC